TAAATTTAACCAAGGATGGGAAAACCTAAATATTGAAAACTACAAGATGATAAAGAAATTGAAGCAGACACGAAGAATTGGAAAGATATATCATGCTCATGGATGGGAAAAAATAATATTGTTATAATGTCCAAACTACTCAAAGCAATCTACAGATTTATTACAATCACTATTAAAATTATGATGGCATTTTTCAAGAAATAGAGCAAATAATCCCCAAACTTATATGGAACCACAAAAATACACATAGCCAAAGCAATCTTGAGAATAGAACAAAGCTGGAGGCATCATGCTCCTGATTTCAAACTACATTACAAAGTTACAATAAAACAGTATGGTATTGACATAAAAACAGACATATAGATCACTGGAACAGAATAGAGAGCTCATATATGCATATATGGTCAGTTAACTTATGACATAGGAGCCATGAATGCACAATGGCAGAAAGAAAGTCTCTTTAATAAATCGTGTTGAGAAAATTGGCCAGCCACATGCAGAAAATTAACTGAATAAAATTGAACTACCTTACACCATATACAAAAATTAACTCAAAATAAAGACTTGAAAGTAAGACCTAAAAATATGAAAATCCTAGAAGAAAACATAGGTGGTAAGTTCCCTGACATAACTATTGGTGATGATATTTTGAATCTGACATGAAAAAAGAAGGCAACAAAAGCAAAAACAAACTATTAAAACTACATCATACTAAAGGCTTTTGTACAGCAAAGGAAATCATCAACAAAATCAAAAGGCAACCTACTGATTGGGAGAAAATAGTCACAAATCATGTTTCTGATAAGGGCTAATATCCAAAATGTATAAAGAACTCATACAACTCAATAGCAAAAAAAAAAAAAAAAAAAAAAAAAAAAAAAAAACTGGGCGTGGGGAGGGGGATGCCTGAGAGGCTCAGTGGTTGAGCATCTCCTTTTGGTTCAGGGTGTGATCCTGGAGTCCTGGGATGGAGTCCTGCATCGGGTTCCCTGTGGGGAGCCTGCTTCTCCCTTTGCCTGTGTCTTTCTCTTTCTGTGTCTCTCATGAATAAATAAATAAAATATTTTTAAAAAATCGAATTAAAAAATGGGCAGAGGATATGAATAGACAAAAATGGAAAAAGATGATGTCACACACACACACACACACACACACACACACAAGAATATTATTCAGCCATAAAAGAGATTGAAATCTTGTCATTTGCAACAACATGGATCTAAAAAGTAGAATGCTAAGCCAAATGAATCAGTTAGAGAAAAACTTCCTGGTGGTGCCTGACATAGTAGCCCCTTCAGGCCTTTTTGTTCCAAGATATTGGGCTCTGAGTAATCATTTCATCTTTCATTAGAACACATGGCCTGGCAACATATAACCAGCAATTCCATTTCTGAGTATTTATGTAAGAAAACAAAAATAGTAACTAAAAAAAAAAAGAACAACAAAAAACCAAAAATACATCTCCATGATCACTGTGGGATTAGTTAAAATAGTTAAAATATGGAAACAACTCAAGTGATCATCAATGAATGAATAGATAAGTAAGCTGTGCTATATACAGACAATGGAATATTATTTGGCCCTAAAAAATGAAATCTTGCTATTTGAAATAACATAGATGGACCTTGAGGGCCTTATACTAAGTGAAATAAATCAGGTAAAGAAAGTTAAATACTATATAATCTTTTATATGTGGATTCTAAAAAAAGAAACAAACAAAAATACTTCAAAAAGCTCATAGATATAGAGAACAGATCTGTGGTTTCCAGAAATGAGACAGGTGGTGGAATAAATAGGTAAAGGGGATCCAAAGGTAGAAAGAAAAAATAAAATTAAAAACAGTAACAATTAAAAAGAACCCAATTGGGACACCTGGGTGGCTCAGCAGTTAAGTATCTGCCTTTGGCTCAGGGCATGGTCCTGGAGTCCGGGGTCAAGTCCCACATTGGGCTCCCTGCATGGAGCCTGCTTCTCCCTCTGGCTATGTCTCTGCCTCTCTCCCTCTGTTTCTCCCATGAATAAATAAATAAAATCTTAAAAAAAAAAAGAACCCCAATTAACCAAAACTGGTAACATCAAATCTATGCACAAAAAGTCCTTAATTTTATTTTCTATTTATTTAAAAAATATTTTATTTATTTATTCATTAGATGAGAGAGAGAGGTAGAGACATAGGCAGAGTCTAAGCAGGCTCCTTTCAGGGCACCAAATGCAGGACTCGATTCTCGGACTGGGACCATGCGCTGAGCTGAAAGCAGATGCTCAACCACCAAGCCACCCAGGCGTCCCATTTTCTATTTGTTTCTAACAAGTTTTATTAGTTGGTTTCATAACTCATAATAAATATATATCTATTAATCTTATTGAGGATCCTTTATGCCCGTTGGATCACTTCTTTTTTGCTGCTTTCAAAATTCCCTGGCCTTGATTATGAAGTGTCAAGGTATGGATCTTGAGTTTATCCTACTTGCAGTTGTTAATTTCATGAATGCCTAGATTAATATTTTTCATTGTTTGGAAAATTTTTGTTCATTATTTCATATTTCTTCAAATATTCTTTCTGGCATTTTCTCACCTCTCCTTGTAGGACTCCCATTACATGAATGTTGATAAACTTAGTGGTATCCCATAGGTCTCTAAAGATCTCATTTTTCTTCATTCTTTTTTCTGTCTCTCAATGAAGACAAATGTCTTCATGTTTATTGATTTTTTTTTTTTTTTGGTTGGGAGAGGGCGGCTCAAATATGCTGTTGAGCCCCTGTAGTGAATTTTCATTTTAGTTATTGTACTTTTCAACACTGGGATTTTTATTTAGTTCCTTTTTATAATTTTAATGTTAATGGATATTCTCTGTTTGATAAGATATTCTTATACTTTTCTTTAGTTCTTTAGACATGATTTCCTTTAGCCCTTTGGACATATTTAAATTAGCTGATAAAGTCTTTCTCTAGTAGATCCAATATCTGGGCTTCCTCAGGTAGTTTCTACTGACTTTTTCCCCCTGAGTATAGGCTATACTTTGTTTTTAATTTGCATGTCTGTTATGTTTTTGTTGAAAACTGGACATTTTAAATCACATAATGTTGCAATTCTGGAAATCACTCTGTCACCTTCCAAGACTTATTGTTGCTAATTGTTTTAGTTGTTTAATGACTTTAATGAATTCTGTAAAGCCTCTATTTGTGATGTGTGGTCACTGGAGTCTCTACTCAGCTTAGTTATCACTGTTGAATAGGCAGAGATTTCCTTAAACAGATGAAGCCAATCAATCTCTCAATAAAAGAGTCTTGGCCAGGGCTCTGAGTGCATGTGGAGACACACCTTCCATGCTAAACCAGGCAGTTTAGACTCTGCCTTAATCATCACTTGTTGCTTGCACAGAGCCACAAGGTCAGTAAGCAGTGAGAGCTTGGGGATTTCTCAGGTCTTTTTGTTTTCAGCAGGTGCATGGCCTTGCACATACATGTACCTGATTTTCTAGGTTCCCAGGAATATATTAGAGATTTTTAAAGCCACAATGGACATCTTATTCATCAGTTTTTCCTTTTAAGCTTTTTAGTTAGCCTATTATTTATCCTGTTATTTATCACCTCAGACAGCTGTGATTAAAACATTTGCCAGCAAATATTTTTGACAAATGACTCCACAGAGAGGCCTTAAGCACCAGGTGAACTTTAGTCAAGTCAAATAAAGATAAGGCTTAGGATGTCATGTTCCAAGGAACCACCAGAGAGGTCAAACAATTAAAATTCTTTCAGGATGAGGCTTTGAAAGAGCTCCAGCTCTGTTCTGCTCCCTGTGGTACCAAGAATGTGGGCTGCTTTTTTTTCAAAACTCACTGAACTGGGTACATAAGGGATAATAATAGGACAAGTTAAAATGCCGTAAAACTTGTCATTCCTATTGATATTCAGCCCTTTTTTTTCTTGAGTAGATTCTCCTTGGGTTGCTGTTTTCTAGATCTGAAAAAAAGTCAGTTCTTACATTTTTTCCCATCTTTTTTCATTGTTTTTATGGATAGGCAAATTTTTGGAGCTCCTTTGTCACTTTCTAGCCATAAATATTTAACAGTAGATGTTATTATTGACATTTCTTGGCAAAAAACAAAACAAAACAAAAACAACTTGCTACAGGTTTTCCTAGTATGTTTAACAGAGTAAGCTATTGCATGTTTTCTCTACTAACTTATGAATTTATTTTAAAAATATTTGTCCAAAGAATGCCGTTAATGGAAGTGACATTGACTTTTTCTTTTTTGGAAAAAGCTATTGGTCAGTATTTCAGCATATTTTTAAATGCCACTCACTAACTTATAATAGTCAAACTGTGTTTTCACTATAAAGAAGAGCGTTAGTCTTCTTCTAAAATATGTGATGGGAATATACCTCACTGTATAATAAAAATTGTCATTATTTAGACATTTTACAAAGGGGAGGAGGATCTAAGTAAGCACTTCCTTGCTTAACTTTTAAACTTTTTCTTTTCCAGCTTTATTGAGATATAATCAACATAAAATGTATAACCTTAAGGTGTACAGTGATTTAATATACTTGTATATTGCAAAATCGTTACTACATAATGTTAGCTATAGTTTTTAAAAAGTTTGTATTTAAATTCCAGTTAATTAACACAAGGTAATACTAGTTTTAGGTGTACAAGAGTGATTCATCACTTACATACAACACTTGGTGCTCATTACAAGTGCACTCCTTAATCTGTATTACCTATTTAACCCATCCTCCCACCCACCTCCCCTCTGGTAACTATGAGTTTGTTCTCTATAGTTAAGAGTCTTGGTTTGTCTTTTCTCTCCTCTCCCGACCCCCATATTTGTTTCTTAAATTCCATATGTGAGTGAAATCATATAGTATTTCTCTTTCTCTGACTTATTTTGCTTAGCAGAATACACTCTAGTTCCATTCACATTGTTGCAAATGGCAAGATTTCATTCTTGATGGCTAAAATTCCATTATGTGTATATATATATATATATATATATATATATATATACACATCTCTTCTTTATCCATTCATCAGTCGATGAACATTTGGACTGGTTCCATAATATGGCTATTGTAGGTAATGCTGCTATAAACATTGGGGTGCATGTATCCATTTGAATTAATATTTTTGTATTCTTTGGGTAAATACCTAGTAGTGTAATTGCTGGATTGTTGCTACTTTTTAATTCTAAAAAGAGGCTGAAACACCATTTGCTATTAGAATGGCTATAGTAGAAGAAAGGGTAACTCAAAGTCTAAAGTTTAAATTTTAGAATTGCAGGTCAGCCTGAGCTGATCAATCATGAAGAGTTCATTCATGCTATCTAAACTTTCAAAGGACTTAGGTGTAAACAAGAACGTGATTTTACTAATCATAAAAAGATACTCTGCAACAGAAACTGATATGTAGGTTGTAATTGTGCATAATCTTTCAAAAGGCAAATCCAGGCAAGAAATCAAAATGGAAAGAAAAGGCTGCTAAAAAAAAGAAAAGAAAAGAAAAAAAGAAAAGGCTGCTAGGTAAGTATGGAGTTAATGCTAGCAAACAGATAGTTAGATAACCTTAACTATATTCAACAAACTACCCTGATGCACAAATAGCCTAGTAGAGGACAATACCTGACATAATCTGAAAGACAATACTCCTTGCCCCAGGATAGTAGTAGAAATTTTGTGATGAAGTCTTATCCTTGGATCATTGCTAACCTAAAGGCCTCTGATAATACAGTCAAACACAGAAAACTTGATTCAGTTTAGATTTTTTATCTTCTTTTTTCTAAGTTACAATACATGCCTATCATTTCTGAGACTATACGCCGGTAGGTTTTTTTTTGTTTGTTTGTGCTTGGGTGTTGTTAAAGCTTTTTAGCCAAGGGAATCTATCACAATACCTAGTTTTAATGTTTCCTTTATACTTATCACGACCTGATCTTGTTTTATTTACTTGTATATTATCAACTTGTGTCTCATCTCCATCAAACGAAAGACAAAAGTCTTGGTGACTTTCTCCTGGGAGAAAGCTCCTAGGAAACAAGGACTTTGTATTGTTCATTATTATATGTTTATTGCTTTTGTAAGTGTCTGGACTATTGAAGATGACAATGAATATTGTTGATTTAATTTTATTTGTTAATTATTATTTTAGGTCAGAGTATTTCATGAGGTGATTTTGTTCCTAATTTCATCAGGGGAATGAAATCTTAGCATTAATTTTGGAGATTCATTGCCTTTGTCTCCATGTTGATCTTCATTTTTGAGATTAGAATTTGAATGATTTAAAAAAAAAGAATTTGAATGATTAAAAAGACATTCCTTTCTGTGTCCACTCTTACAGTAGAATAGTACAAACTTTAAAGGTGTATGGGGAGAGGTTGGTCACAGAATAAAAACTTTTAGTTATAAAATGACTCAGTTCTGGGGATCTAATGTATAGGTTGATGATTATAGTTAATAATACTGTATTGTATACTAATATTTGCTATGAGAGTAGATCTTAAATGTGCTTACCACACCAAAAAATAAAAAAAGGTAACCATGTGAAGTGATGGTTGTGTTAATTAGCTTGATTGTGGTAATTATTTCACAATATGCACAGATACCAAAACATCACATTGAATACCTGAAGTTATATAATTTTGGCAATTATACCATAATAAAGCTAGAAAAAAATAAAATACATACATATAGGCATAAATCATTTTATTTCATTTTGCAGATATTGCAGCTTTTATAAAATGAAGAAGATTTATGGCAACCCCAGGTCAAGTAAGTCTATCAGCACCATTTTTCCAACAGTATTTGCTCACTTTGTGTTTCTGTGTGCCACATTTTGGTAATTCTTAAATATTCCAAACTTTTAATTATTAGTATATTTGTTATGGTGATCTGTGGTCAGTGACCTTTGATGTTATGATTGTCATTGTTTTGAGGCACCAATTATAGTGCCCATATAAGACAGCAAAATTAGTGATAAAGGTTGTGTGTACTCTGACTGTTCTACTAATCTACTGTTCCCCCATCTCTCTCCCTCTTCTCAGGCCTTCTTATTCCCTGAGATACACACTATTGAAATTAGGCAAATTAGTATATGGCCTATAAGTGTTCAGGTGAAAGGAAGTGTCACACAGCTCTTACTTTAAATCAAAAGCTAGAAATGATTAAGGTTAGCAGGAAAGACATGTCAAAAGCTGATACAGACCAAAAGCTAGGACTCTTGCATCATTTAGCTAAGTTGTGAATGCACAGCGTAAGTTCTTGAAGGAAATTGAAAGTTCTACTATAGTGAACACATGAATGATAAGAAAGTGAAATGGTCTTATTGCTGACATGACGAAAGTTGATTCTCACCCTCATGGATGACTTTGGGGGGTTTAAAACTTCTGTGGAGTAAGTAACTGCAGATGTGATGGAAAAAGCAAGAGAGCTAGAATTATAAGTAGAGTCTTAGGCTGTGACTAAATTTCTGCAACACATGATAAAACTGTAACAAATGAGGAGTTGCTTCTTAGGGAAGTAGTTTCTTGAGATGAAATCTACTCCTGGTAAAGATGCTGTGAAGATTGTTGAAATGATAACAAAACACTTAGAGTATTAAATCAACCTAGTTGATAAAGCAGTGGCAGGGTATGAGAAGATTGACTCCAATTTTAAGAAAAGTTCTAATGTAGGTAAAAATGCTATCAAGCAGCATGGCATGCTATAAGGAAATTGTTTGTAAAAGGAAGAGTCAATTGATAGGGTAAGCTTCATTTAAGAAATTGCCACAGCCACTCCAGCATTCAGCAATCACCACCCTGATCAATCAGCAGCCATCAACATGGAGGCGAGACCCTTCACCAACAAAAAGATTATAACTCCCTTCAAGCTCAGATGATACCTAGCATTTTCTAGTAATAAAGTATTTTTTAAGTTAAGGTATGTACATTAATTTTTTTAAGATTTTATTTATTTCTTTATTCATGAGAGACACACACACACACACAGAGGCAGAGACACAGGCAGAGGGAGAAGCAGGCTCCATGCAGGGAGCCCAATGCGGGACTCGATCCCGGGTCTCCAGGATCACACCCTGGGCTGAAGGGAGGCGCTAAACCGCTGAGCCACCCAGGGATCCCCTGTACATTATTTTTCAGACATAATGCTATTGCACAGTTAATAGACTACAGTATAGTGTAAACATAACTTTTATATGCATTGGCAAATCAAAAAATTTATTTGACTCATTTTATCATGATACTCACTTTATTGTGGTGGTCTGGAGCTGAATTCACAATATCTCTGAGGTATGCTTGTGTTTTGAAAGTGAAAAAAAAAAGGACTACAGATAGCTGAGATCTATGGCCATTTTGTATGGTTACAGAACCAGAAAGTACATAGAGAAATAAATGCTTTAGAATGTCTTAAATTTCTCTTAATTATATTTCAGAAAGGTAAGGCAAAACATTTACTAATTGTTCCCATTACCTCCTTGGTTCTCATAGAGCATAGTGAGGGAAATTTAAAGTCAAAAATTTTTAGTTGGCTCGCTAGCAAACCAGTGGGTCAGAAATATGGGAAGAAAAAGTTGTTCTTTTTAGAAGAATTCACTTTCTTGTGGTTATATGACCCAGGTTCCCAGTTTTTTATTGCTGACTAACCTTAGGAAGGTAGTCTTAGCCTAGTAGGCCATCCTTAGGTTTTAGCCAATGTGGCTTTCTTACAACACGGTAGCTTACTTCTTCAAGGCCCACAGGAGAATCTCACTTTATTAGGTCAGGCCCACTCATCAGTCTCTCTGTTGATACTCAAAGTCAGCAGATTAGGGACCATAACAACATCTGCTAAATTCCTTCAATTTTGCCAGGTAACATAGTCTAGTATTGACCATATCATCATGGGAATAACATCAGGGCATATTTGGTTAGTGGTGAATGATTGCTTAAAATAGCACACTGCAAACATGATCCTATACACAAATGACTGTAATTGGATTGTATAAACATCTACATAAACTTTTAATTTTACGTCACTTTACAAACTGGTATATCATGTTACAAAGTGCTTGTACATATTCTGCATTATTTGATTTTCATGACTACCTGTCAGAGAAGCACAGTAGGTATTAGCCTAATGCTACCAGTGGGGGTGGGGTGTGTGGGGGGGGAAGCAAAGCTCAAAGCTGTTAAGGGATTGTCCAAGCTCTACAGCAAATTAGTAGTGGAGTTGGGCTTTGGTCTGGGGTCTTTTCACCCTGTGGTCCAGTCCTGTTTGTTGCTAATTCTATAGTTTTCAACCCATGTTTGGTGGAGTTCCGAGGAGAGGTATCAGGGATTACTGGAGAACTGAGGGTGACACTAATGAAGTAGGACTTAGGGTTGATACCGTGGCTTGACTTTTGTTTATTCTATACATGTTGGGGGTTTTATATAAGCTTTAATAACCACTGCACTGCTCCATGCTGCCTTGTTAAATGTAAAAAAGAATGTTTCCAAAAAAAAATTTAGTTTAAAAAATGGTATAGATAGGTCTACACAAAAACCAAGAGTCTATTCCAGTAAAGTTTTAAGAAGCTGTCAAGTCTTGCAGCAGCTGTTGAACCTTTCATAAAGAAAGAAAAAAAAAAAACCTGTATTAAATAGTTTGAAATATACACTTAGAAAAAAAAGATGAACCCCACCTCCTTCATTTTTAAAATAAATATAAAAAAATTAGTACCTTCTTAATGTCTGGTCTCTTATTTTTCTTTTCATGCAAGCATTGACTAGCAACAGAGTACATAGTTTCAATGGAAGTGGGATCAGTGTCATTCATCTTCGGATCAATATAGTCTTCAATTGTCTTTTCTTCATCCTCAATTTCTTCTTTAATATCTAGCTTTAAAACAAATGTTAAAACTTTAGTCAGAGTTTCAAATAAAAGAGAAAGATATCAGAATGTAAATGGAATGATTTAATCTACTTCATAATAACACATACTCTTATTTTACTATTCTTATAAACTTACTAAGAGTTAAAGACATACAGGAGAAACCCGATTTATTTATTAATGCATTTATTCAGACATAGATATATATATATACACACACTTTTTAGATACCTTCGGCCATTTGCCTTTGGTTTTGTATTTATGCTGCTGAGCTAATTGCTTTCCTATTCCCACTGGCAGCATTTACTAGGTTGCCATCACAGGGTGATTTGCTGCTGCTTCTTTATTTTTATTTATTTTTTATTTTTAGAGTGATTTGCCTCTTGGTGTGCTCCTGATAATGAGATTCCAATTTCTAGACCCAGACTCCTGCTACTTGTACAGGCAAACTTCTCTATGGGTACTCAAATTATTGAATCAAAGTGAAATGAAAAAGGGAAAAGGAAAAAGGGGACAGGGCTATGATAAAAAAAAGTACTGTATAGTGAGAGAGGCGTAGGACAAGGATGATGTAGTGGGTTGAGCAGTAGCCCTGAAAATAATAATGATGGCAGAGTCTAGTGAGTTCTTTCAAAGATCACTCCCTTTTGGTTATACTTGTAATAAAATCTTATTACTTTATAGTTATAGTGCATTCAAAATTTAAGAATAAGTCAAAGAGGGATCCCTGGGTGGCGCAGCGGTTTGGCGCCTGCCTTTGGCCCAGGGCGCGATCCTGGAGATCCGGGATCGAATCCCACGTCAGGCTCCAGGTGCATGGAGCCTGCTTCTCCCTCTGCCTGTGTCTCTGCCTCTCTCTCTCTCTCTCTCTCTGTGACTATCATAAATAAATAAAAAAATTTTTAAAAAAGAATAAGTCAAAGAGTATAAACATCCTTAAAGTTTTATGATTTTTCACTAGTATGTGATCATGTGTAAAATTATGACTGAGATGGATTCTGTGTTTTTCTGTATTTCACCCTTACTCAAACTACAGGTTTGAGGCTTTAATAGCATTTTGAAGGCGGAAAAAGTCTCATGGAAAAAGATTTAGGCCTGTAGACAGGCAGGCTTTCCTTAAAAATATAAAAAATTACAAGGTAGAAAAAAAGAGTTTGTTTATTTATTTATTTACTGTCCTTCTGTATTTTAATTTACACACTTTCTCTGTATAATCTAATTCACACCCAAAACTTTACCTATGCCTGGGTACTAATGGCCCCAAAACTCTATCTGCAGCTCAGGCTTCCATCCTGATGCTCAACATCCAATGGGACATATAATTTTATTTCTGTGATGAGGACAAAATATCACTATGTACTACTATTAAAAAATCCAGATATTATGCAAATAATAACTTTGGACAATAACATGTTCTATAAATATACTTCAATGTGAAATGTTATATAATAAGTTATACTGCATTACTACACATCTAGGGAACCATGGAAAGATTTATAATGTATTTTTTAGTAAGAGACATCAGTATCAGTATTATAGTATATAGATATCATATTACTTATGGCTTTTCTTAAGAGTGTGGCCCCAAGCCCTTGAGCAAATATATCATCCCTTTTGACTTTCTAATTTCCATTCTAGGGAAATAATCTGTTATACATATATTATCTGAATTTGTCACTGGTTTGCCTCATTAAAATACATAAATTAGAATCAAGTCAGTGTAGTTATTTAACTGGTTTCAAGAAAGACTTACACATGCTAGTATTTCTGTAATCTTTTGATTACAAAAGATTTCTGTAAATCTTTACTTTTATAAAAAGACCCACTAAGTTCTTAAAATTTACTATACAGAAAAAAAAAAGGGCAAGACATAATTTTAGCATTCAGGCATACTTTTAGCATTCAGGTGTTAGTCTATTTATGTAAGTGCCAATGAATGCCTAATATGACACATAGGTAATGTGCTCAGTTATAACTTTTATAAACAAAATACTCCATACTGGAAACAGATAGAAAATTTTACTAGCAACTCCATTCTGATACAAATCTGAATAGAAGCCATATTGTTTTTCCTCTCTGAGCTAAAAAAGCTGTTAGTAATCACCCTGAAAGTAACAAAATGAAAATATACTGCAGAAGGACTAAAAAATTATATAGTTCTATTCTGGTTTTACCCAGAACATAGAACATATAAGTGACTTTTTCAAGCTTCAGAAATACTTTGTGGCAGAGCTGAGATTAGAAATATGATGCTCTTTCCATATGCCACTATGTAATTGCCAAGGAAAAGATTGCCAATAGGAAAAGACATTGCTAGATGCCAAATTTACCCAAATAAATTTAGATTGTAAATGCAAAGAAAAAAGGACTGGAAAAAAATAGATCAATTACCAATAACTGAGGCTCACGGTGTTCATCTACAGCTGGAAGTCCAGTTATTATTTCTAATAAAACCTATGAAGACAAAAAAAAACTATTACTGTAACACTCAAGAAAACATATGGAAAGAATATAGATCTTGATTATGAAATATAATTATTGGGACACCTGAGTGGGTCAGTGGTTGAGTGTCTGCCTTCCGCTCAGATCATGATCCTGGGGTCCTGGGATTGAGTCCCACATCAGGCCCCTACAGGGAGCCTACTTCTTCCTCTGCCTATGTCGCTGCCTCTCTCTCTCTCATGAATAAATAAAAAAAATCTTAAAAAAAAAAAGAAATCTGATTGCTCATTTCCACACATTGCATTATGCCTTTTAGGCATTAAAGTAGGAAGGTTATGAGCTGGGGTCATTTCTCACCATCATTCCTTCACAGGAATCTTGGGTTCCACCAATCCGCATGAGCAGTACTTTTCTACTGGCATCTTATTAAACAATAAGATCCACTCATCAGTCTATGTTCGGGACATTCCTTCTCCTGTCTTGCAGGGCATTCTTCCCAAAATAATTTTCTCTGCCTTTTAGAATAATATTTTCTAAATTTTAGGTATATCCTATAACTGTATGCCTTAACTTCCCAGTGCTGGGAAGTTAAATTTCCATATAGGAAACATATAAGATGAAGTAGAACCTGATTTCTCCAACTGTTTCTGCTCATTCCATCTTAAAAGTTATTTGGCAAAGACAGTAGATTAGAAAATGCCAAAGTGTATGTCTTTTAAAAAAATATTTCATTTAGGGATGCCAAGGTGGCTCAGCGGTTAGGCACCTGCCTTCGGCTCAGGTCGTGATCCCGGGATCCGGGCTCGAGTCCCGCTTTAGGCTCCCTGCGAGAAGCCTACTTCTCCCTCTGCCTATGTCTCTGCCTCTCTCTCTCTCTCTCTCTCTGTCTGTCGTGTCTGTGTGTGTGTGTGTGTGTGTGTCTCTCATGAATAAATAAATAAATCTTTAAAAGAAAAATTTCATTTAAAAAATATGACACTAAATGTGTGCTGTATGACATGATTTGTTTTATGCACTGATTTAATTTAAGCTTCCTACTAATTCATGAGGATAGTGTGGTAAAAATGTCATTTCTTGCAGTAACTTTAGAAATCAATTTAAAAACGTTCTACAACTTTGGAGAAGCTTTTATAAGCTTTCTCATTTAACTAAGGGTTAAAGTAAACAATATGCACATTTACATGAGAGAGCTAAGCAAGACAGGTGTGTTCAAAATATTCTACTTCCATTTCACAGTTATAGCCAGGATGATTATTTTTGCTGATTATATATGTGAAACTCACCACACCAAAGCTGTAGATGTCAGATTTGGGTGTTATTTCTCCTCGTAAAGCCTCAGGTGCCATATAAGCTGTTGTGCCCACAATTCTGCTAGTCATCACTGTCTGGGCAAATTTCTCAGAAGCCCGGGCAAGCCCAAAGTCAGATACTTTGGCTGTAAAGTCTTCATCTAGTAGGATATTTGCACTGAGAAAAAAATGTAAAGCTTGAAGAAAAAAATATTTTCCTTTTCAAGTAAGTCAAACAGTTCATGTTTACGTAATACACAACATACGTACATATTTAGAGTATACCATTTCATAACCCACATCGTAAAAGCCTGATATTGTATAAGTAAATCTAGATTTCAGATTAAAGCGAAAGAGGAAAGATTGTTTTCTTTTTGTTTCTTGAGGAAAAATTTTAGGAGAATAAAAATGAAATAAAACTGTCTGCATTAGTGAAAGGTGTTTTCATTATTTCACAGTGAATTTATCACACGGGAAATTTCCCTCAGTCTCCTAAAGCACAATTCCTATTCCTTTCCTAACATTTCTCAACTCATTTAAATATAAATTTCCAACCAAAGTCTCTCAATTATTCATTTATTTATTATTTTTTTAAGTTTTTATTTTAATTCCAGTATATTTTAATTCCAGTATAGTTAACACGCAGTGTTATATTAGTTTCAAGTGTTATTCTTTTTTTTTTGTACTATTGAAATCTTTCAAAGAGAAAAGAACATGGTTAAAAGGTCTTCATCCATTCATTACACACATTCAACTCATGCACACATAGTTGCATTCAATAAAACTTTATCAAGGACTCATTATGTATAATGGTATTTAAGCTCAGTCTTGCATTGAGGGGGGTTTTCAAATCCTGTCTGTGACAAAAGTACACAAATATTTTTTTAAAAATCCAATAAATACTCCATAATGGTGATATTAGGTACAAAATGCTGAGAGAAAAACTACATGCGTGGAAGAACTGGAGAAAGGTGAACAGTGTGCTTAGTCTTGAAGGATTATGAGAAGATGAGGGTTAAATGAAGGTGAAAAAACGCATTTCAGGCAAATGCAGCAACATGTACATAGTGATGAAAACATAAAAACCTATCAATTTCAAGAAACTGGTGCCAATGAAACATGGAGAGAATATTGACTTGATCCCGTGAGAGCAGGACAGTAGCAAAAATGTTTAATAGTAAGGAATTGGTGCTGTTAGACTTGATTTTTAAGAACATAACCTGGCAGTGTAGGAGTGAATAGATGAGAACTGGAACAGACTGGTTAAAGGCTGACCAGGAAAGCTTGTATGTAATAAAGCAAATGAGAGTGAGAGTCTGGACAAAGAAATGATACTGTAGGAGCTGGGGAAAGGAGCTGAGAATTTTGAGGCATATTCAGTGAATTTTGTAATGAATATGATATGAGGAATGAGAAAGTCTTTAGCTTGGGAGACAGGATGAATGGTGACTTCATTTGATCAGGAAGGGAATATAGGAGGAAGACTTTGGTTTGGAAGAGAAAATGAATTTGATTTCTGACATGTTAACTTAGAGGCAGCTGTGGGACATCAGGTGAGGTGTTTTTGGTCTGGAGATACTGAGAATATAGGATCAGAGACTGACGATACAGATTTGAGAGGAACCCATACATAGATAGCACGTAAGTCAATATAATGTCAGCAAGAACACGTTGTGGGAAGAGACAGGAGGTGAGAACATGAGGAAATACACTGATACGTAAGGGACACCTGTTGCTTATCTAAGGCTGACCGTTCTACTTGGACTCCTTCCTACATTCGCAGGAACCCTACTCCATAAATTATCTCACTTCTGTCTTCTATTTTGATCACCTCCCTCTTCCCCTAGGCATAAAAATGTACTTTAGTCTTCATCATCTTAAGAACGTTTCCTGAATAACACATTATTTCCAGCCATCACCCTTCATTATCTAAATGTCGTAAAAGACTTGTCTACACTCACATCTCAGTTCTCCAGCTCCCGCAACCTCCTCAACTACATGCTGACTTCTGCCCAATTACTATGGGGAAGTAGGGCTCGGTAAAGATACTGATAACCTTCAGGGCACTGACCACAGGGTTATTTTTCAATCCTCATCTTGACCTCTAAAAAGCAACTGACATTTTTGACTAGTCTCTCTTGGGAAATACTCTTTTTCCGCGTTTTCACAGGTACCACACTCTCTAGGTTCTCATCTGACCTTTCTGTGCCTACTTCCTTAGATTCCTTTTTGAGATCATTCTCTTCTACTTGGCCATTAAGTCTTAAAGTTCCTCAGGACCAACCCCTTGGGATCTTTTCCTAATCTCTCTCTCTCCTTAAGTGAATACAATCATATAATATATCTTCAATTATCACCTATATGTAAGTAATACACAACTTTATATCTTCAGCTCAGACTTCTTTCAGCTCCATATCTGTATATCACACTAACATCTGCACTTCTATATCTTAAAAGAATCTTAAATACAACATGTATAAAAGAGCATTCACATTTTCAGCCTTTAACCTGGTCCTCTTCCACTGCTTTCTATGTAAGTGAATTATGCCATAATCATCCCAGAAAGCAACCCAGGAAGCAAGAAATCCAGGAGTCATTCCTGACATGTCCCTCTCCCTGACCCCTCTGCAACCAAAGTATCAGCAAGTCCTCTTAATCTCTGGAATCTTCTCACTTCTTTTGATAAGAAATGCTACCACCCAGATTTCTGTAATAGCCTCCTAACTACCTTCTGACAAACTGTTCTCTACACTCGAGCCAAAGTGATCTTCTCCAAACTGAAGTAAGATGTCACATCCTGACTTACAATTTTTCAATGGCACTTGATTATATTTATGATAAAACTAAAGTCCAGGGACACCTGGGTAGTTCAGTGGTTGAGCATCTGCCTTTGGCTCAGGGCTTGATCCCAGGGTTCTGGGATCGAATCCTGCATCAGGGTCCCAGTGGGGAGCCTGCTTCTCCCTCTGCCTACGTCTCTGCGTCTCCCATGAGTGAATAAATAAAATCTTTAAAAAAAAAAACAAAACAACAACAACAAAAAACTAAAGTCCATACCTTAGTCTATTAGATTGTAATAGACTAAGGTATGGTTTAGCTCCAGGCCAACTTCTATAATTTTATCTATGTCAATCATTCCTTCAATTTCTGCATTCAGTTAAACTACATTCATTTTACCTTCTGTAGTTCGTCATGCTCCCACATTCCCTCTCAACATTGGTCTTATAAATGTAGTTCCTTCTGTCTAGAATGCTCTTTTCTCTACCTTCTTTAGCTACCCTCAAATTGTGCTTACTTATTTCCTACTCATTCTTTGGATCTTTGCTAAAATATCACTTCCTCAGAGAACTCTTCTTTACATTAATACTGTATATAAAGACTACGTACTACTTACTGAAGTTCTATTATTAGTGATCTATGATTGATGTCAAAGACTACAAGTACTACTTTTGACTATATTATCTACAGTGCCTACCATATAGTAGGTGCTCAACTAGTATTTGTTAATTATGTAAGAAGAAAAAGAATTGAAATGTACCTATGGAGCAATGAAAGTGATTCAGAAAATAGTGATGATCCAGAAAATAATTTTGACAAGGCAATAGTGGTCAAGAAAAACAAAAACAAAACAAAACAAAAATCAGGTAGGATGAGTACTAAAATAGGTCACTGCGGGAGTGGCTGGATGGCTCAGTCAGTTAAACATCTGCCTTCCACTCAATTCATGATACCAGGATTCTGGGATTGAGGCCCACATGGAGCCCCACATTTGCTCAGTGGGGAGCCTGCTTCTCCCTCTCCCTCTGCTGCTCCCCCTGCTTGTGCTCTCTCGCTCTCTGTCAAATAAATAAATAAATAAAATCTTAAAAAAATAATAAAATAAAATAAAAATAGGTCACTGGGTTTGGAATAAGGGAGATTATAGATATCAATGAGAAGAGCTTTCATGAAGTGCTATAAATTAAGATATGCATATGAATATTGAATAGAAAGAGTGAGAATAAGTTATTCTCTAAAAATGGTTTTCCAAAAGCTTTTTTAAGAGTAGCATTTACCTATTTTTTTAAAAGATTTTATTTATTTATCAATGAGAGACACAAAGAGAGAGAGAGAGAGAAAGAAAGAGAGAGAGAGGCAGAGACACAGGCAGAGGGAGAAGCAGGCTCCATGCAGGGAGCCTGACATGGGACTCGATCCCGGGTCTCCAGGATCACACCCTGGGCCAAAGGCAGTGCTAAACCCCTGAGCTACCAGGCTGCCCTAGCATTTACCTTTTAATGTCTCTATGAATATGATGGTTTTCATGTAAAAAACTGATGCCATTAGCTGCACCTTGGGCAATCTTGCATCTCATGTGCCAAGAAAGTGGTGGAGTACCATCCTTATGAAGAAAGAAACCAACATATTAAAAAAAAAGAGGATTAAAAAAACCTATAGAAAATATGTAACAGGACATTTTTCTAAGCAACTACTGAAAATGATATTATTTCATGAAGAATTTAGGGTTGCAATTCTTAAAAATTATTCAAAAATAATCTCTAAGTAAGATCCAGAGTTAGCATTTCTTATCTGAAAAAAATATATAAGAGCATCTTCAAAGACTAGTCTTGACTGACAATTTTGTGTTTCAGATTATCATCTACTAGAATGGCAATCCCAGTTGTTTACCTATCAACTGTCTAATTTTCTAAGAGTAGGAAAAATATTAAGATTAATGTGGTTTAAATAATCTTATCACAAAGTGAATGTTAGTATTCCAACACATTAATAGAGAGCCAAACAATCTGATGAACAAATATCTTACCAAGCAAGACAGCCTGTCTAGCAATGAGCCGTTGGGCATATAAACGTACACTAAGCAGAGGTCATCTCCATCACTTGAGAAACCAAGCAGTTCTACTAGGTTCTCATGCTGACACCTACGACAAATAATTTTCCATTCAAAATTATTATGATACATACATTTATTCAGCTGTAGGTTGGAGGTTATTCAATTTAGAGCTTTAACAGAAAAAAAAGAGCAAGACAATAATGATATGCTACATATCATTATATCACGATACATATATTTATAACATGTTTATATATGTTTATTGTAATCATTTACAATTTTCTGCAAACAGTTCTTTTAGTCAATACTGATCAACGTTAGAAGCAAATCCTTTTCCTATTTAAGTAATCTCTCCACCCAATGGGAGGCTTGAACTCACAACCCTGAGATCAAGAATCAAATATTCTTCTAACTGAACTAGCTAGGCGCCTCCTTTTACTATTTTAAAAAAAAGCTCAATAATTTAGAACTTTGGAACTTGTGATAGTTTAGTTAAGGACTGTGCTGATATTTACCTTTTTGTAACATAATTTTCAATGATAGTTTTTATGAAAAGATTCCAAGAAGTTTGTTGAAATTGGTGTGACAACCCTTTCAAGAATTTTCTAACATATCCAAAGCACTGATTTATAGACATCTGATCTCTAATCACACCTAATTTATACATACCTGATCTTTAAAAATATCTTATTATTTATAACCTAATTTGAGTTTCTTTATCTACCAAAAGGAGTAAAACTAAAGAAAGCTGAACTATAACAAAACCTTAGGTATCTGTGGTACAGCAGAAAGAGAACTGGGCAAAGTCCTAAGTTTAGAGTCCAGCTCTGCCACCCCCTGGATATTTGACCTACAGGCAAAATTAACAGTTAATAAGATAACCTGACTGAGCCTCAGCAACTTCACCAAATGTGGATCATAACCCCTACTATATAACATGGATGCTGTGAGAATTAAATGAGCAAATACAGGAGAGTCAAGAAATATATTTAGAACATGATACACATTCTGTCCCAGTGCTTACTGGTTCTTTTGATTCAAATCATCTAAAATTCCGACATTTCATTATTTCAAATCAGACTTTAATTTGAAATCAGTCTACCTCATAAATATTTTAAGAAGCGCAAATTAAAACAGTAAGTACTCTATTTTCCATCAAACTGGCACATCTTAAAAACCGAGTAGGTGACGTTTGCTGAGTTTGTACTATATAGAAGGCACTTCAGTAAGTGATTTATCTGCTTTGTTTCACTTAATCCTCATAATATTATTACTATTACTACCCTATTTTATAGATAAGAACACTGATGAATAGAGAGTTAAAATTGGCCCAGGTCATTCTTCTAGTAAGGTCCAGAAATTGGTACTTATTAAAAAAAACAGGAATAATATTCAGTGGTGGTGAGGTAGCGGTGAAATTTGAAATTGTAATACATTGCTGGTAGGAGCATAAATAACCATAATTTATTTATAAAGCCATTTGGACATGTATTTGGAAAGTTCTAAGAAGTTTGTGCATTCTGAACCAGTAATTCTTCTAGGACTCTACCTAATAGAATAAGGAGGGTTGCATTTAAAGATTTATGTACAATGAGACTGAAAGGAACTTTAATTTGTAATGTTGAAAATTAGAAACAAGTAGGGCACTGGTTAAATAAAATATAATCATCATATATGCTAAATAATTAATATACAATACTAAAATTAATGTACAATAACAAAATGTTTTAAAATTATTTTTAATGACATGGGAAAAATGCTACACATACATCGTGAAGTGATGCATCAAAATATTAGGCATGGCTGTCTCTGGTGATATATTTAAGAGATGGCTTTTATTATTCTAAATATACATTCTTGTATTTCCTAGAATATCTACTTTGAACAAATTACTTTTAGGATTGCAGAGTGGATATAAAAGTGGGGGGAACAAAATCTCGAAAGAAAGAAGTTTTTTTTTTTTTTGTTTTTGTTTTTGTTTTTTTTTATCAGCGTCCATTATTTTTAGTAGGACTGAATTAATTCCAGTCTATTATTTCTTTCTTGAGGTTAAGCACTTACAATTGGTAATTTATAGCAATGGGTGTAATTGAGTATAAATTGGTAAATCTCATTAGGATTTACATCAATAATGTACGGACACAGATGGGGAGCACACATATTGTGGTGAGTGCGGAGTAATGAATAAAATTGTCGAATTCGTGTTGTACACCTGAAACTAATATAACATTGTACATCAATTACATTTCAGGAGTGAAAAAATAAATTTAATAAAAAGAGAAAGGAAAAAGCTCAAGCTCTGGAATCAGACAGATCTCAGTATGAAAATCAGATACGATTTTTACTATGTGGCCTCAGGCAAGTTACATAATATCTCTAAATATCATTGAATAAAAAGGTAAGGGAGCTTATAATAACTGTTATGAGGATTAAGTGAGACCAGACACATAAAATACACACACTATAAGTATCAGAATAAAATCCTGATTTGTTTCTCTTACTCTTTCTTTTTTCTCTCTCTCTCTCTTTTTTTTCTCTCTTACTCTTTTTGATGATGCCCAGCAATTGTCAAATGTACTGTGTCATTTCTAGGCATTCTAGCATATAACTGCTTTCCTGGGTTAGTGTTGCTAAGATATCCAAGGGCCTAGTATTCTACTGTTTGTTTGTTTTGTATCTCTATAATTTATCTCTCATGAATTTTGGAAGCAGCAAACATAATAATGAAAGATAGCTGAAATCCTTTGTAACTTGGCTACGATGTAAAATAATTCCTGTTTCAGCTCCAGGAATGTGAATATATGTAGTCACAGAATTATAAGAGTCAAAATTCTTTGAATTCCTCTAATCTAAACTCTTTATTTTAATTTTACATATTTGAAAATATCACTAGTTCATAGCACACTATGGGTGAGAAACCAGGTCCTCTACTCCTTGACCTGCACTTTTCTACTATACCACATTGCCAAATTAACTTACTTTGCCATAACTTTTATTTCTTGATCAAACTGCTGTTTCAGTTCTTCAGTACTAATGTCAACCATCTGAAAAAACAAAGCAATATATAATAGAATCCAATACAATAACGTCAAGGCTCCAAAAGCTAGAACAAGGTGTAAGAGATTGCCTGGCTGACGTAACTTTTTTTAATATAATAAGGTGTAATTCTCCCTACTTTATTTTATTTTATTTTTAAATTATGTTTTATTATTATTATTTTTAAGATTTTATTTATTTATTCATGAGAGAGAGAGAATAGAGAGAGAGAGAGAGAGGCAGAGACACAGGCAGAGGGGGAAGCAGGCTCCATGCAGGGAGCCTGACGTGGGACCCGATCCCGGGTCTCCAGGTCAGCCCTGGGCTGAATGCGGCACCAAACCGCTGAGCCACCTGGGCTGCCCAATTCTCCCTATTTTATAGAATAACTGAGAACTAGAAATTTAATGATTTGTCCAAGGTCCATAGCTAGCTAGTGGAAAAAAGCTCATAAACCATATAACCATATAAACCTTACTGAGTTATTGCAGGAACAAAATGAAATAATATGAGACTTCACTGCATAAATATTCTGAAGAAAACATTTGCTGTAACAAAACACAAAAAAGCAAATTTGAAGGCAAAAAGAAAAACAAAGCTTGAAAAAGTACTTGTAACATATATGACAATGGGTGACTATCTTTATCATATAAATATGTATTATATGGATATTCCTAGAATATTCCTAGAATACAATAACAGCTCCAAAACATAACAAAATGAGTACTTGGTGAATACTCTAGTAGAAATGGGAATGAAGGATTTAGATAAGACTTTTTTCAATCTTTTTTCTTATTGTATTTTTTAAGCTTTATTTTTATGGTTTACTTTTAGTTTTTAAAAGATTTAATTTATTTATTTGAGAGAGAGAGAGAGCACACGGAGGGGTAGGGGCAAAGGGAGAGGGAGAAGCAGACTCCCCGGTGAGCAGGGAGCTTGATGTAAGGCTCAATTCCAGGATTAAGACCTGAGCTGAAGGCAGACGCCTAACCAACTGAGCCACCCAGGAGCTCTGACGCCTTTTTTTTTTAAAATGAGAAAAGTAACATAAGAAAGTTATTTTTACAAAATTTTCTTAATATCTTCCAATTTTCATCTTGATTATGCATGAAGCACTAGATAGAACAGGGCTCCTCAACCTTATTTCGTGATTCTTCTAAAATTATATGTATAATCATTCATGTATGTCTATAACTTTTTGTAGGGATAGGATTCATAGCTTTGAACAAATTTTTTTAAGTGTTAAGAACTACCAGTTTAGATTGAAGTTTAAAGTAAGTATGCACTGAAATAATATATTTCCTAAAGATTTGTTTTATTTTTATTTTTTTTAAAGATTTTATTTATTTATTCATGAGAGAGAGAGAGAGAGAGAGAGAGAGAGAGAGGCAGAGACGCAGGCAGAGGGAGAAGTAGGCTCCATGCAGGGAGGCCGATGTGGTACTCATCCCAGGTCTCTGGGATCATGTCCTGGACTGAAGGCCGTGCTAAACCACTGAGCCACCCGGGCTGTCCTATTTCCTAAAGATTAATTTAAAGCTTATTATATAGTGCAACAGGAAGCAACTTTTCTTTTAATTCTTTTTGCTCCTAAACATATAACTTACGGCTGCAAGCTTCTTCACTGCTACAGTTTTGTTGTTCACGTAGCCTTTATATACAACTCCAAATCCTCCCTCTCCCATCTTGTTGCCACCGAGAGAAATGGGTCTCTCATCAAAGTTATTTGTGACATTCTTCAATTCATAAAATGAAAAACTGTGAAAACCTATAACATCAATAAAATAAGGAAAAAAGTATTTTGATAAAAAAGATACTGGTTTTAATAACTTTATTGTTTTCTCAACCTGATTATTTCATAAATATGCAAATATTCACATTTTTGGATTAGGCATGATAGGAGAGAGTGAAGCTATCTTTTAAATTAAAAAATTAGGCTTTATCTTGAGAATTTTGTTTGGTGATCCTCCACCCAAAACTCTAGTCACTTAATTTTTTGATAAAATGACCTTTTCAAGTTATGTAAATACTTACACATTTTTTCATACTTCTGTGGTTGTTTATATGTCCTATTGCCTGTACTCACTGATAACATGCTGACTAATACATTGCAGATGGTGTTTAGTAAGTCAGGAGAGAAAAAAGAAAACCCGTAAAAGAGCTATGGCCCATGTGCATGAGCAGAAGGAGAGATTTATTTCAAAGCAGTGATGATCTTAATGATAATCCACCAGCGGAAAGCACTGCAATGTTACTTACGTGTATCACTACCTTCTAAACTTGTATTTTCTGGACTTGAGGAGTCAGGTGGCATATAGTTTTGTTCAAAGTTCTGCACAGGTAACACAAATGTCCTGTCTTTGCCATTGAGAGGCATCTGTTGCTGCTGAACTGTTACAGCTTCTTTAGAAGGTACTGTATTAGGAGTTTTAGGAACAGCATCTGCCAAACAAAGTAAGATACAAGTTGTCCTTCCATAAGAAAAAAATGCTTGTGAAAAAGTTAAACTAGGACTCCGTTCAGTTGACAGCATTCCAGTTTCCACATGTGAACCCCATTTTCTCATAGCACACACAAGAAGCTACCTAGGAAGAATTTGTTTTAAGTTTTGGATAAAGATGAGTAGACAGGGTAAGGTAGTGTTTTCAAAAAGTCCATGAGCCACCTACATCAGAAGCACTGAAGTGTTTGTTTAAAAACAGGGGCCATAATCCAAGTCAAGAATTCAGATAATGAGGTCTGAAACAGAGCCAAGAATCTACCTGTGTAACAAGAACCCCAGGCAATTCTGGGAAGCACACTCAATAGTGAGAACCACTGGTGTAAGTGGCATCAAAGGGAAAAAATAAGGTTCTGAGGAAGGTATCTAGACAGTGACCTGCCAGCACATAATGTAAGGAAATCATGATCACAGATCCAACAGGGTGGAAGTTGAGGGTGAAAAAAAAGCAAGAGCTCAAAGAACCAAAACAAACAAAACAAGCAAACAAAAAAACCTAACCCCAAAATCTAATTGCTGTCCTTCTAAACTTCCTATTGGCACAAAACTACCTGACTTGAACGGTGGGCTCAGATTTGATCACAAAGCTTCTATTTCCTTAGCAGCAAAAGTTTGCAGTGCCTTGGCTAGGATGCTTATATGAGTTAGGGAGGGTGGAAAGAAAGAAAAGCAATCTCTAAATATAAGGCTCATCTACTAGAAGAAAAAAGTAGGAGTAAGGAGACATGTTCCTATTTCTGCCATTTGCCTTTCCATCCTAATTGTCGATGCCCTACTCACACTCACTTTACCTGGTAGCAAAAGACTCGCTGGGGCAAAAAACTCATTTTGAATCAAAAGATCCACAAGGTCACCAACTGTGCAATTTGTGGTGCCCCAGTCAAACAGTAATTCACAGGTGGGACTTTTTCCAGTTTGAAGTAATGCTTCAAATCTCCTTAAAAGCAAATAACAAGAAACCAAAATTAGTATGTAATAGACTTTACATGAAAATAGGAATTATTCCCCGTCTTGCCCACAGCTCCTCCTAGAGTACGAAAGGGAAGGGGCGGCCGGAGACCCAGCAAGAATTACAGAGAACTGGGAAGACAGAAGGGAAAAAGATGCTGAGGCTGATGATACTCTAAGTTAACATATATCGAGTACTTACTGAGTATCTGCTCACTGGGCCACAGAATGCACCCACATGAACTTATTTAATTCTCAAAGATACTGTGAATATAACGCTAATTTACTAATGAGAAAACCAGGTGTGGAGAGGTAAAGTAACCAGCCCATAGCCATACAGCCAAAACATTCTATCTAAATTGAGATCCAAATTCAGATCTTACTTGACATAAGGGTGTGCTCTCAACCTACTAAGCTATATTACTTTCCTACCTGACTTAATAACTCTGCTAGCCATATGATTTTTAATAAATCATTCTGCTTAATGAAATAGAATATTGTACATGAACCTGGAGAATTATTCCTTTGATCTTATATTTCAATTAAATTAAAGGAAAAACGTACACTTTCATTCTCATTTCTTTAAAAAATTAGTTTGAAAAGTAACATTTAAAAATTTAACATTTTTTTTCTGGTTTGCCTCCAAATTATTTATGTTGAAAATTTTCAAATTTACAGAAAAGTTGTAAGAATAATACCATGAACAACTGTTTACTCTTCATCTAGATACACCAACTGACCAGTTGATAACACTTTGCCATGCTTGCGTTCTTGTCCTCTCTCTCTCCTTGTGTATATGTGTGCATGTCTGCACACACTTTAGAATGTAAGCCAAATGCCCTGTAGAATGTCTCACAGTCTAGATTTGTCTGGCTACTTTCTTATGATAAAATCCAGGTTAAAAATATTTGGTAAGGGCGTCTGCATCTCTCAGTCCATTAAGCATCTGTCTTTGGCTCAGGTCAGGATCCCAGGGTCGGGGATTGAGTCCTGCATTGGGCTCCCTGCTCAGCAGGGAGTGTGCTTCTCCCTCTGGCCCTCTGCCCTCTGGTGCTATGTGTATGTCTCTTTCTCCCTCTCTCTTTAAAAATCTTAAAAATAAAAATGTTTGGTAAGAATGCTATATAGGTGACATTAAGAGCCACATAAAGCAGCTTGTACCATTACTGGTGACCTAAAGTTTATTACTTGGTTAAGGAGGTGAACTTCAGATTTTTCCTTTATAAAAGTACCTTTACCCTTCATAATTCATGAGTAACCTGTGGATAAGATTTTGAAATGTTGAGTATAACTTGTTCATCAACAACTTTTTGTCTTGTGGTTTGTTTCACTGATTGAGTCTTGCATGCATCAGTTACTCATTAGTGGTTATAAACTGGTAGCTATCACTCTTTCAATAATTATTAGCTGCCATTATTCTGTAGAAAAGAGTTTTTTCTCCCTACCACCACTGCCTCAACCATCCTCCAAAAGTTTTTTAGTTTTATTTTTTTAAAGATTTTATTTATTTATTCATGAGAGACACAGAGAGAGAAAAAGAGAGAGAGAGGCAGAAAGAGAAGTAGGCTACATGCAGGGAGCCTGAGGTGGGACTCAATCCCGGGTCTCAAGGATCCGGCCCTGGGCTGAAGGCGGCGCTAAACCGTTGAGCCACCCAGGCTGCCCCAAAAGTTTTTAATGCTAATATAAATAAACTATTTTTGAAAGTTGCTTCTCAATGCTTAAACTTAAACTTCTTTCAAGTAATTTAAGATGTTTATCCTTCAAATGAAGAAACATTTCCTGGAAGAACTAAGATCGGGTGAAGGCTTTGGGATCTTTATCAGGTTAAGGTTGAAAATCACAAATTAATGTCTTTTACTCTTGCTACCAAAGACAGATTTTGGGCTGAACTTTGGGCCAAAATAACTGACAAGACAAAAAATCTGCACTCATATTTTGTACTAAATCAAGCAGACATAAATAGAGACAAAGAATGAAATTATCTGAAGATAGTGTTGGAAAATTCTGGCTAAGAACTAAGAATTCTAATTCTGTTCATAGATGTATACATTTACAAGCAACTTTAAAATATCAGCTTGAAGAATTTCCAAAGTACACTGTTACGGTAAGTAGAGATTCACACACTTAGAATTTTATTAGAGATTCTTAAAATGCCCGTATGTTCAATCTGGACATGACAAATGTGAGGCAGAGGGAACTTTCTCAGCTTGCTAAATAGAAAACTAGAATAAAAGTGGGAATCTTCTCACCTAAAAATTTATTTGCAAGATCATAATACTACCCTCACTGACATAATGGAGAATGAAGCAAAAACTGCAAAAACAGGGGAAAAAAAGAGGTTACTTATTAAGATTATCTCCCCTGGAAAGAGTTTTACTTTCTGAATTGCAACATTAGGTTGTATTTATATCTATTAGTAATCATTCTAGAGTAGGATGTAAGAATTTAAAAAGGAAAAGAATTTTATATGTTACCTTATGTGAAACTGATCGTATCTATCATCACCAGATGGTTTTTTAATAGCTACCGCTAACTTCTTCCATCCTTCTTGAGGATCAATAAAATCTGACAACTTCCTAATTAGTCCAAGATTGAGACAGCGCACATATGTTGAAGATGTTATGGGTTTATTCATCTTCTATTCCTAAAATACAGAAAATTCTCATTAAAATTTTACAGTAGTTTCAGCAATGACATCTGTAAGCTTATAAATCACATTTTAATTTTTTTTTTATTTATGATAGTCACAGAGAGAGAGAGAGAGAGAGAGGCAGAGACACAGGCAGAGGGAGAAGCAGGCTCCACGCACCGGGAGCCCGACGTGGGATTCGATCCCAGGTCTCCAGGATCGCGCCCTGGGCCAAAGGCAGGCGCCAAACCGCTGCGCCACCCAGGGATCCCCTATAAATCACATTTTATTACAATATATGAAATGTTGACAACTGATTACACCATAATAAAGGAACACTCCAAAGTCAACTAATTGATATTCTAAGGAGAAATTAAACTTGTGGTTCATTTGTCTAATTGTCCTCTGGTCTTAGTTTCTTTCTCTACCTGTAATTATCAATTAACAAATTGAGGAATTTTTTTCCTGATATTTCTTAAATGTAATTTACACAAAGAAGTGAAAAACTTACTTTCGCGGAAAAATTCCTGAAAACTTAAGAATCAACTCTATTCATAAAAAATTTATTTTTCAATTTAAAATATTTTTCCCAACCTGTATTTATTTACTATTGAACACTTATGAACACTCTTTGGTAGAAGTAAAAAAAAAAAAAAAGTCCTAAAATAATTTGAGTGGTATTAAAATATATGGTAAATAATCAACTTTTCCTATAATGTGCTCCACGTCATTTGAGTCCAATAGACCAGTCTGATCATAATTCATTCCCTACTAAGCCAAACCCTATGGTTCACCACTTTACACTCTAGAGAAAACCTTTATTTCCTCAGTCCCTTCTTTCTTTTGCCTACCACCCTGGAGAGCAATGGTTATGAATACATTTCATAATTTTACTTGTATACCAGCACTGCTGAATATAGCTATAGAAAATTAGATAACTGAGTAAGTAGACTGGTCTGAACACAAATTTATGGGGCCTCTTTCCACGGGGCCATCAACACTGCTGTGAATTGTTACTTGTCTTTGCTCATTATCCTTAGTGGCCTTTCATGCCTTTATCTCTCTCCATGTGGTTTTATTTGACCTCCATGCCTTTCCTTCTCAGCAAGTGGCAACCTTTCCTCCTAGTTAATCAAGACGAAGAGATTCAGATATTCTTCTGTCACTTATTCTCCTTCCCTCTATATTTTTATCTTTAAATGTGATATAATTAATTTTTTGAGTAAACAGATTTATGTGACACAAAATTCAGAAGCTATAAAAGAGCAAAAAACAAAATGTCTCCCTATATTCTAGGCCTCCATATTCGTATTCTCTTCTTCAACCACCACATCTAAGTAGGTCTATCTGCCCTCAACCTAATTATCTTTCATCACTGCACAATGTAATTGTAATCATGTATTTATTTGCTTGTTTACTATCTGCCTCCTCCATTAGACTATGAGCTCCATGAGTTCATTTCACTAATAGATAACTACTCACTAGCAAGTTGTATGTACTGCTGATAAGATTTATGAATGGATGAATTTGCTGTTGAGTACCATGCTAGGTAATTCATATATTTCACGTACTCCTTATAGTAATGAAGGCAATTTCAACCTCTTTACTTCACAAAGGTAGTAAATGAGAGAGTTGGACTTGAATTCCTATCTGACTCCAAAATTCATACCATATGTCCACTAGCAGGCTTGTGTAATTCAATGCATTGTTCAAGTCACTCTCTTTTCTATAAAGATAAAACATTTCCTCTCATTTATTCAAATATTCAAAAACCTTGTATGTCAGGCTTTGTACTAAGTTATGGGAGCTACAGAAAGGAGAAAAAAAATCTTTATTTTCAAGCTTCTCAGTCCAGCAGGGGATACAAACAATTATAGTGAGTGATAAATGTTACAAGAGGTGTGTGCAGAGTGTGGAGGCCCAGAGGAGCATGGAGCCAAGGCAGTCTGAAGGAAATATATCAAGACAGAGTTGGGTGGGGAGGAAGATTGGAAGGATGAGTGAAAAGGAATGAGGAGAAACCTAAAAGGAAATTCCAGGCAGCAGGAATAACTGGGAGAACATTAATTAGACTCAGGCAAGGAGTTTGCTATGGCTGGAGCATAGGAAGCATGTTCTTAAGTAGTAAGAGATGAAATGGAAAAGTAGGCAGGGACAAATCATCATGTGCCTCATATACTGAGACAAGAAGTTTAAGCTTTATAGTAAAAGTTACAGGGAAGCTATTTCAAGATTTTAAAGTTTTACTTATTTATTTGAGAGACAGGGAGAGCATGAGCCCTTGAGCAAGGGGAAGGGGTGAGGGAGAGACTTCAAGCCGACTCCACACTGAGCTTGGAACCCGATGTGGGGCTCCATCTCACAATTCTGAGATCATAACCTGAGCTGAAATCAAGAGTCAGATGCTTAACTGACTGAGCCACCTAAGCATTCCCATTACAGGATTTTAGAGAAAGGTGCTATATGATATTATTTGGTTAAGTGGATTCCTCTGGATAAAAAACGTGAGATGTATATTGAGACAAGGAGACCAGCTTGAAAACTTAGTGATAATCTAAGTGAGAAGAAATTAAAGGCTTAAAAAAGTCAAGGAATTGAGAAAAAAAAGATTCAAAGATTTAGGAGGTCAAATCAATATTGTTTAATCAAAATCAGATATTAAAGGAAAGGAGAGTGAGGAAAATGAGGAAATTGATTCCTGGCTTTTTGGCTTGAGCAATTAGATATTAGAGGAAATGAAGTGTTCATAATCACATTAAATGTTAAATATCTACTCTGGTACCATGTAGGGGAGTTGGTACTAAGTAGTTAGATATATGGTCTGAAGCTTAGGAGAAAGGTTTAGGTAAAGAATACTCACTATATGAGCATTCTCACATATTCGTAAGTGAATCATGAGGTTGTCTATTATGAACATATGGATTGTGAAGAAATGGAGAGAAAGAAGAATCTTTAAAACTATTGATACGCCATGGAGATAAGAAGACAACTAGGACAATTAGCATATCAGAGAATTCTAGAATGGGGGATAGGTTAGTATAAAAGACCCAGAGATCTAATAAATACTGATGGATGTGTTAGATTTGGAAACTGGGTGGCTTAAGAAGAGTTTTAATGGAGAAGTGAGTAAATGGGAACAACGCATTTTCCAAGGAATCTGGCTTTGGAGAGGAGAGAGAAAGAGAGAGAGATAAAGGGAGGGAGAGAGAAGGAAGGCATCAGTTCTTAAATTTGGTCTCGGTACCCTTTACACTATTAAAAATTTCTGTGGAATCCAAAGAGGTTTGTTTATTTTGGTTATATTTACCAATATTTACCTTATCTGAAATCGACACTGAAAAATTTAAAAATTGTTCATTAACTCATTAATAACAACAAATGTACTACATGTTAGTATACATAATATATTTTGATAAAATACTTTTTCCAAAATAAATGAAGAATGACATTATTTCACGGTTTGTTAATCTCTGTAATATCCAACTTAATAGAAGATAGCTGGATTCTCATATCTGCTTTTGCATTTACTCTCCTGCAACATATTGATCTGGTTGATATATAGGAAGAAAATCCAGCTTCACACATAGAGTTGAAAACAGAATTTTAATAGCCTTGTCACAAAGTAGTAGGTATTTCTTTCACACTATAGTGAAACTTGATAAAAGATAATTTCTTAACAGCCGCAATGTGGAATCTGAAATCATATCAATGAACTGTTTCATTAAAATCCATTGTATTCTGAATGAATCTTTTACTCATCAGTGATTTTGATGCTATGAACTTCTTGAACGAGACTTGGGGACCTCAACCACACCCTGAAAACTCCTGGCTTAAGATTTGTTTTAAGGGTTAAGCTTGGTTGAAGATACAAAAGGGATAGTGAAGGGAGGATAGGTGAAGATGTCAGCCTTGAACAGAAGGAAATTTTTTCCTCCAAATCTAGAAAGAGGGGTTTGGATAGAGACATATTTTAAATGAGAGGGAGAATTCCCACACGATGTTATTTTCTTGGTGAAACAGGAGGTGAGGTCATCTAGGGCGAGGTAAAAGAATTGCCTAATTACCTTGAGGGCCACTTGGCAAATGCCTGTGGTTTCTTTAAGCTCAATGCAAAAGGCACTATTGGTGTTCCCTGATAGTCATATCTTTTGCTCCAAACTGTCACCAGTCATTATTCTAATATAACAATTATCATATTTTATTGTTTATGTGTCTGCCTTCTCCTCTAGATGGTGTGCTCTCCTAACCAGAGATCCAACCCAATCGGGCTTTAGAAGCTACTCACATATTTGTGTTGAGTGAGAGAAAGGCTGATTTTTTTAAATTAAGAAATTATTTCTGCCTATAGATTTTGCAGTTGCTCCATTCACATTATTTTCCTTTACTCAGATTTCCCTCCATTGTAAGAAGTACAATGTGATTGTCAAAACTAGTAAAGGTTAAGACCACTTGGCAATCCTACAGTCTTGAGATAAAATACAGGAAATTGCGAATAAAAAGTCTATCTTAGGACCAGGGATAAATTCTGTAGCTCTCTTACACCTAGATTTCTAACAAAGTTGATGTGTAGGGATACCAAAAAAAGAAAGCCTTCTGATAACTCCTCTCTCTCTCTCTCTCTCTCTCTCTATATATATATATATATATATATATATATATGCCTGTAAGCTCAGAATTGAAAATTTTATTTTAAGCACACATTTGGAAGAACGTATACTAAAAAATTAAAGGTGATTATCTCTTGATGGTGATTTTTTTTTAAGATTTTATTTATTTATTCATGAGAGACACAGAGAGAGACAGAGAGAGGCAGAGACATAGTCACTGGGAGAAGCAGGCTCCATGCCGGGAGCCCGACGTGGGACTCGATTCCAGGTCTCCAGGATCACGCCCTGGGCCAAAGGCAGGCACCAAACCACTGAGCCACCCAGGGAGCCCCCTTGATGGTGATTTTTTTTTTTTTTTGATGGTGATTTTTATGGTGGTTTTAGTTCTACTTGGTTTTCTGCATTTTCAACAATAAAAAGTTACTGTGCAGAAGAAATTAAAAAGTATCAATTATTTCAAAGTGTGCAAGAGTTTAGTGTGCCCAGGATTAATAGAAGTAGAAAAAGATATAGTGCTTACAAATAAATAAATAAATATCTTCATGACTTTTCTTATGCCATTAATTCTCATGGCACTATTCATGTTTTTATTTTAATATTTTAATTTTAATTTTATTTTTTTTAAAGATTTTATTTATTCATTCATGAGAGACACACACAGAGAGAGAGAGAGGCAGAGACACAGGAGGAGGGAGAAGCAGGATCCATGCAGGGAGCCTGATGCAGGACTCGATCCCAGGTCTCCAGGATCATGCCCTGGGCTGAAGGTGGCGCTAAACCGCTGAGCCACCCAGGCTACCCCCCATTCATATTTTTAAACAAGGCAACTTGGACAAGAACAGAAGTTAAGATAATAATCGAGAAATATACTAAAACCAATGTTTACTTGTGGAAACCAATACTTCTCATTTATATGGAGGTTCTCCAATAGATAAAGTACTATGCCCCAGATAGGAAAACAAAAATTTTTGTCATGTGAATGAATGAAGTTTTAAGACTGTGCCTCATAAGCAGTCTGATCAGAGGGAGAGAGTACAGAGGTGAGGAAGAAGATGGAAGCTGCATGGGCCTGAGTTCTAACGTAGCTCTCCCACAATCAATTGTGATCAGACTTAATAATTCAATTTCTTTGGATCTTAGTTTCTTTATCTGAAAAGCAGAGATGGTAATAGCTAAGGCTTGCTGTAAGATTTTAAACTAACACATGCAAAGGGCCTATCAATAATTAGGTGATTTTTTAAAAAATGTTGCAATAATTATTTTATGGCTGAAGCTATTCTTGTATCATATTTTTTTTTTAAAGAAAAGGAATCTGCAGACTTGTATATAAGCTCAGTTTTTAGAATAGTGGTGAGGGGGGCTACTGACAGTAGAAATTAGAGGTTGGAGAATATAACTAAGCTTTTCAGGTAATGATAGTCCTATTTTATTAAGCATAGTATTTTAAATATATTTATAACCATCCTAAAATACATTATTCACTCCCATGCTTTCTTAGGCAAAATATGCTGGATAACCATTAGTCTTTATTATTGGACAACTCAACACTAGCATTATGAGCAAAAGCTGGTGACACCTTCTGGACCTATTAAATTTTACAGGGCTGGCCTTCGGAAGCAGGGTATGTGCTGGTACGCCATGCAATACGCATAACACATAATTCTCAAGCATGGATTTAATTCAATGGTTAAGTAATTTAAAATGCTTTGGATATATTAAATATACATATAATGTTTGGATGTATTAAAAACATACATTGTTTTTCAATCTTCTAAAATATTGAATATTGAAATAAATCAAATTATTTACTGAGTGTCTACTTTGTGCTGGATATTGATCCAAGTTCCTGGAGATGAAGCATTAGGAAAATAAGAAAAAAATAACTGAACTTGGGAAGCCTGGGTGGCTCAGTGGTTGAGCATCTGACTTTGGTTCAGATCACCATCCCGGACTCCTGGGATCAAGTCCCACATGGGGCTCCCCGCAGGGAGCCTGCTTCTTCCTCTGCCTGTGTCTCTGCCTCTGTGTGTGTGTGTTTCATGAATAAATAAAATCCTTAAAGAAAAATAACTGAATTCATGGGACTTATATTCTAAAAGAGGAAGACAGGTAATAAGCAAATAAACTCTATACTAGGCTAGATGGTGCCAAATGGAGTGGACAAAAATAGAGAAGGGATTTAAACAGTTTTAAACAGGGTAGTCAGAGCAGTTCTCAGTAAGAAAGTGCCAGGGGCAGCCCAGGTGGCTCAGTGGTTTAGCACTGCCTTCGGCCCAGGGTCTGATTGTGGAGACCCGGGATCGAGTCCCACGTCTGGCTCCCTGCATGAAGGCTGCTTCTCCCTCTGCCTAGGTCTCTGCCTCTCTCTCTCTCTCTCTCTCTGTCTCTAATGAATAAATAAAATCTTTTAAAAAAAAATAAGAAAGTGCCCTGTGATTAAAGGTCTGGAGAAATGGGAATGTCACACACTGGGATATCAGTGGGGAAAGTTATGGGGCAAAAGGAATACTACAAATATAAAGGTCTGAAGTGGGCCCCCTGAGAACAGCAGGGAGACAGTAAGTATGGAGAGGAAGGAGCAGGAAAGCAGCAGATTGAACGAGTGGTCAGGCACCAGCTCTCAAAAGCTTTACAGCTTTTGTATTGATTTTGTTTCATCCTCTGAGTGAGAAGACAGTGGAGGCGTTGAGAGTAGGAGAGATATGCTCTGTATTGAGGTCTTGAGAGGACCCTGGGGCTGCTGCTGAGAGGAAAGGGTGCTAGAGCAAGGGCAGAGAAGCAGGAAGAGACCGGTTAGCGGCCTACACCAACAATCCAGGTGGGAGATGCTGGAGGCTTGGACCAGAGTGGCCGCAGAGACGGTGCAAGAGTCCCAGGAGGCTGGATATTTTCTCAAGTCGAGCAAATAGAATCCTGTGCGCTGATATGAAGGGCGAGGAGGCTGCACCAAGGTTTTCAGCCTGAACCTTTCTTGACATTTACTTAGGTGGAGGAGACTGCGGAGGGAGCAAGTTTGGCCCGCAAGATCAGGCGCTTGGATCGGAGAGGTAGAAAGCAAGCTTCAAGTGGGTGTTCAGCGTGAGAGAATTAGAGAAATAGGCTCTTTCTGACGAATTCCTTCAGGGGTTACCCCTAGAAAGGGAAAAGGCAGACTTTAATGTTCTCTGCTCCTAGGGCTCCTGGGGCAGATAGGTTTTTTTCAGGCAGTACTGGAGCTCTAGGTTCCCATTCTAAAGAGCTGGAATGTTCCCTCGCTTTCTCGGGGTCTGCTTCTTTACCCCCCTGTTTTCTCTCTCGCTCCAGGCTCTCAGGTCTACTGTTCCCATCTGACGACGTGCTTCTCCGGCCCTTGCACCGCTCTCCACTTCCTAACGGCCCGGGGGCCTGGAAGCCAGGCGACAAGCGAACTAGAACCTTGCGGAGGCTCCGGAGGCTTTCCTCCACCCGACGAGCATCTTTGCCCGGAGCTGCCCTTTACTTCCTGGTTCTCAGGAAAACAGCTGCGTTTCGCAAACTGGTTCCCGCCACGCAGGGCCTGGGAATCGAGAAACCCGAGGCGAGGTCGGACCGAGCCACGGAAGGGCCTGCGGACGCCTTCTCGCGCCCCAGCGTCCTCCTCGGGCCCGATTAACTGTCCGATCCTCGGGAACCCACCCGAGTCTCCTCCACCCTGGAGCAGGCTGTGCCCGCGCCACCTACTTCCTCCCTGACTTTTCTCACTTTGAAGACCGAAACCGTCCTTCCACAACCCTGCGGCCCAGGCATGGAGTACGGAGCGCAGACCTCGGACGGCGGCGGGAATTCCTTACCTGGCCAGGCGCGGGACGCCGGGGCACCGGGGCACCGGGGCACCGAGGCACCGCCCCGCTGAGCCGGCTGGCGGAGGAACCCGAGCGCTCGGAAAGGCACCGGGGTGGGGGGGGGTGGGGCCGACCTGCTAGGTCCCCACCTGCTAGGTCGACGCCACTAAACTCCCGCCCCAGGCCCCGCCCACACAGCGCCACCCAGCCACCGGGCCCCGCCCACACCGCGACGCCCCGCCCGCACAACGCCACCCCGTCACCGGGCCCCGCCCATATCACAAAACTCCCGCCCCAGGCCCCGCCCACACAGCACCACCCAGTCACCTGGCCCCGCCCACACAACGCCAACCCGTCACCGGGCCCCGCCCATATTACGAAACTGCCGCCCCAGGCCCCGCCCACACAGCGCCACCCAGTCACCTGGCCCCGCCCACACAACGCCATTCCCGTCACCGGGCCCCGCCCATATTACAAAACTCCCGCCCCAGGCCCCGCCCACACAGCGCCACCCAGTCACCTGGCCCCGCCCACACAACACCACCCCGTCACCGGGCCCCGCCCATACTACAAAACTCCCGCCCCAGGCCCCGCCCATTCAGCACCACCCAGTCGCCTGGCCCCGCCCACACATGCCACTTGTCACGGGCCCCGCCCACATTACAAAGCTCCGCCCCGCCCACATCACAAATCCAGGCCCCGCCCACCCCACCCCGCCCCTTTGCGCCTCCAAGCGCCTCCGCCGCATGGGAAATTCCAGGTTCCGCGTCTCTTTTTAAAATGGGAGCCTGTCCCGATGCATGGAGCCTGCTTCTCCCTCTGCCTGTGTCTCTGCCTCTCTCTCTCTCTCTCTCTCTCTCTCTCTCTCTGTGTGACTATCATAAATAAATATAAAATTTTTTAAAAAATGGGAGCCTGCCCCTTTAAATACGCCGCGCTCGGCGGCAGAAGGAGGCCAGGACTTCCGGACATGCGCACAGCGTTGTGCCCGGGATTCCTTAACCTGCACCTGAGGTAGACCGGGTCGCGCTTCTCGCCGGATGCGGGGCTTCTGTGGGCGGGGGGGAGGACGAGAGTCGTAGCGTTGGGACCCTGACTTTGTGCCTGCGAGAGGAAGGCGACGTGGGCTAGTATGGGCTTTGGGGCAGGAGGGGGAAGAGGAGGGAGAAGCTGGAGGAGCGGCGGGCCGGGCCGGGCCGGGGGGCTCCTGATGCGCCGGAAGGCCACACCGCCGCCGCCGGGAGCCCGGAGTTGTGCGAATCGGTGACCGAAAGCGAATAGGAGTGAGTCCAGCCGAGCGCTGCTGTTTGAAGGACGACACGAGGGAAAAGGCACTGCCTGCTGCGTTTCCAGCGTCTCCCCAGAATTTGCCGTCAGCCTGCGTCATCCCCCAGCCCGGGCCGGCCCACCTGCCTCCTGCCCCTCCGCCTCGCTGTCTCGGCGGGCAGCCGGCTGCCCAGCGACACTGCGTCTCTGTGCCGGACTCCACGTGGGCCCCTTGGGCCGCTCTCACAAGGTGCTCGTCGTAAGCCCCTGAGCCTTGCGTTCTTCCCAAGGGGGTTCTACGTCACCCGCAGCCTAGGATGCCCTCCTGGCTTCTTCCTTTGCCTGGAGAAGGCCTGGGTCGTTTTCTTCACCGGGCGCATCCCTGCCCGTGACCACAAGGCTTTCCAACTCTTGGAAGATCTTCATCGCGTTCACCTGCTCAGGGGCCGTCGCTCATCTTACTAAGACGTCTTTTTGGAGTGTGTGTGCCATTTCCCTGCTCAGACACCTCCAGTAGCTGTATATTGATCACCCCCGTGGTTTCTTTCTTTTTTATTCAAAGATTTTATTTATTTATTCATGAGAGACACAGAGAGAGAGGCGGAGACGCAGGCAGAGGGAGAAGCAGGCTCCATGCACCGGGAGCCCGAGGTGGGGCTCGATCCCGGGTCTCCAGGGTCACGCCCTGGGCCGAAGGCGGCGCTAAACCGCTGAGCCACCTGGGCTGCCTACCCTCAGTGGTTTCTAAGATCTTGGTAAGGCATTGACTGCCTGGCAGTTTGGCGCTAATCATAGCTGTATTTTCCGGAACTGTACTAAAAAAAATTATTTTTCCGATTGTTCTCGTATCTGGGCTGTTCAGTTTTTCCCTAAGACATTGCGTATTTTGTTTGTATGTTTGTTACTCATGATATGCCCTCTGCCTTATTTCTATGTCTTGAATCGTTTTGCGGACTTAGATGGCCACTTTTTTTGTATTATACCTTCTCTGATTGTCATAGGCAAAAGCGATCCCCCCTTTCCCCCCTTTTTACTCTCACAGCTCTTATTTTGTACTAGTTGATTCATTTATTCAACAATCAGCATTGATTGTATGCTTAATATGTGCTTGACACTGTTCTATTTTTTTTAAAGATTTTATTTTATTCTCTAAAGATTTTATTTATTTATTCATAAGAGACACAGAGAGAGAGGCAGAGACACAGGCAAAGGGAGAAGCAGGCTCCATGCAGGGAGCCCGACGTGGGACTCGATCCCGGGTCTCCAGGATCATGCCCTGGGCTGAAGGCGGCGCTAAACCGCTGAGCCACCCGGGCTTCCCCCTCCACACTGTTCTAAATGTGAGATAATCAGTGAATTAGGCAGACAAAGTACTTGCTCCCACAGAGCTAACATTCTAATTGGGAGAGATACATTATAAATAATAAAATTATTAGATAGAAATACTGTGCAGGAAATTGACGTTTGGGGAAAGAGTGCTTTGCTGATTCCTTTACATTATTAGTCAGGGAAGACCTCTCTGAGGACGTGATTGGGGAATGACTAATTTAATCAGCAGGAACAGCGAACATAAAGGAATTGAAGAAGGCCAGTGCAGTTGAAGTATAGTGGGTAATGGGGAAAGGGTACAAGATATATTTGGAGATAGGTAGAGTCCAGAATCTTACAAGTCTTTGGAAGCCAGGGTCAGTAATTTGGATATCATTATCAGTGTGATTAGAGGTTTTAAAGAGGATTGTGATATGGTTCGATTTACCTTACAAATAATCATTCTGGCCATATGGAGAATGGACAGTAGTGGACTAGTAGTAGAAGCAGGCTAGACGCCTTCACAATGTATAAGAATTTCTGAAATGGAAGTTCAAAATGATGGAAGGACAGCAAGATTAATCAGAGAGCCAGATGTTTAAAGTGGATGTAATTTTTGGTGATGAGAAAATAAGGGTTGTGACTAAGATGAAGCGGAATTGGGTTGAGGTTGAGATAGGGAACTGAGGGACTGTGGCGTTAAATAGATGGTGCATAGGGATGGACATGGAAGTCATGCTGGATAGGAAAACATTGAGGGAGGTGTTGAAATCTTCATCAGTGAATGAAGAGGAGTCCTCTACGGACCAAAGAGGATGGCAGCAGATGGTAAAGCCTGATGGCATGAACTTCAAAGAATCTGGGATTTGGGGGAGGTAGAGGAAGGAGAAATGAATGGTTTGGAGCAGTGGCAACTAGAAATTATTTACATCTTCTAGGTCCTAAATTAGGTGGGCATGAAAGGAAAAATAGCTTTCACTTGAGAGGACTACAGAAGCGGCAGCGTGGGGGAAATAGGTTCCAGTTATGGGAAGAAACTGAGGAGATGTGCAGGAAATGAAGGAATGATGGAAAATAAATCTATCCTTATGTAGTCTAGGAAATCATGATATAGGAGTTTTGCTGTGATTTCTACGTGGCATGACGCAGGGGGAGGTTCGCTAACTTGGCTCAGATTAGTAGAATACGTGGTAGAAATAGGATGAAGGTCCAGATGATGACCAATTACTAGAGAGTGTGGTTAGTATGTGAGTAGTATGCGGTGCCTGGGCATTTTGTCTTTCATATAGCTCTATCTGGTATGGTAGCCATAGGCTGTGCGAAGAGTGAATAAAGACTTTTTTGAGGATTATTCTCTCATCTGCTTCAAGAGGATCTGCAGAGTTTTTTTCCTCTCTGATGCCGGTGGCATGGTTGGAATTTTCCTGTGCATCAACCTCAAAAGTTTGTATCTGTAAAAAGCTTGTAACTGGGTTTTCAAGAAGGTTTAAGGTTCAGGATTAATTGGAGACTATTTTGAAGCGGAATCAAATTGCAAGTTGTTATTTAGAATTTCATTTATCTATCAATTTGGGCTATTTCTTCCTGTCTTCTAGTTTCTTCTCTCATCTCTAACCCCTAATATATAAAACTCTAGCCACAAATGCCCTGGAATTAGCTGGGGATTTTCAGGAATGGGGTTTAGACAAATCCTTAAATCCTGTGTTGTGGTCTCTTCTTTGTGGGCCTGCAAAGTGGTATTTTTAAAGTAAACTTGAAACTGACCCCTTTGAATCCTGGATAATAGATGGAAGCTTGGAATGGGTGAAGAGTGAAGTTGCAAATCATCGGTTACACCAGAAAAGATTGCCTGTTAATTCACCTTGGTATAGAAGAGTCAAAATACACATGATATCTAGAAATAAATTGTTAATGCCTTTTAAGGGGACCCAGGATTGAAAGGGAGAAAGAATAATAAACCCTGCAAATATATTTCTTCTTTGTTTTTCATGACTTTTCTTTCTGGTAACTGACTGCCTCCTGTTTCTTTTGTAGGCATTGTTATTTAAGGATGGAAGAGGATACAGATTTTAGAATTAGGTTTAGTTCTTTGGGTTTCATTACTGATCACGTTGGATTTCGTGGCACTATAAAAAGCTCACCAAGTGACTTCGTTGTTATAGAGATTGATGAACAGGGACAGCTAGTTAATAAGAGCACCAGTGGCCTGATTAGTAAAGTACTACCTGAGCCAAATAATTTTGCCAAAAAAACAAAACTTGATTTTCAAAATAAATCCTGTCAAGAGGGCAGCAACCAAGAAGTCAGTACTTTCACCAAGTGCTCTGATGATGACCAAAATCATCGGTCTGGTTCAGAAAAGGAAGATACTGTCAATGATGGAACTTCCACAGGCGAAGAACAAGTTCATGTTTTAGGCAACTTGTTAGATGAAAAAACTAATGACTTACTGACTCACTTTGCCTTTGACATAAAAGAGAAGTGGAATTCTAAAACTGAGCTCATTGGATCATCTCCTGAATTCTCATTAGGCAGGATCCTTGACAAGAACCAGAGAGCTATTTTGCATAGTGCCGTCAGGCAAAAATTCCCCTTTTTAATAACTGTAGGTAAAAACAGTGAGATTGTTGTAAAACCAAATCTTGAGTATAAGGAACTCTGTCACTTGGTATCTGAGGAAGAAGCACTTGACTTTTTTAAGTATTTGGATGCAAAGAAAGAAAATTCCAAATTTACCTTTAAACCCGACATGAACAAAGACCACAGAAAAGCTGTCCATCATTTTGTCAACAAAAAATTCGGAAACCTTGTGGAGACCAAATCTTTCCCTGAACTCAATTACAATGCTGCTAATCCAAACATAGCAATAACAGTAAGATTCCGGGAAAAAAAACACAAGCACAGGAAGAGGTCTCTTTTTGAATGCCGAGATCAAAAAGTTATATACACAGGTAATGTATTAGATCATTACCATTTTCTTTGATAAAGAGTTAAAATTGTGTGGAAGGTGAATGATTTCAGATGAATTAAATAGACTTAACCAGAGGGATATTGGAAAAAATATTTGGGTTTAGTTTTTAGTGGAAGATAAAGCCTTTCAAAGAGAGGCTCTTTGATTAATTAACGATCAAGCCTTTGAGAATTAACCTTATTGATGAAAGTAGGTTAACAGATGCTTATAGGTAACATAGTCACAAATATACACAGTTGAAGGAGTTATTTTGTGCTTACTAAGTTTTACTGGAGATAAATCTTGATTTATCTTCCATATTTTGGAAGTTATTTTAATTTTAATTAAAAATTAAGTACTCAGGATCCCTGGGTGGCGCAGCGGTTTGGCGCCTGCCTTTGGCCCAGGGCGCGATCCTGGAGACCCGGGATCGAGTCCCACGTCGGGCTCCCAGTGCATGGAGCCTGCTTCTCCCTCTGCCTGTGTCTCTGTCTCTCTCTCTCTCTCTCTCTCTGTGACTATCATAAATAAAAAAAAAAAAAAAATTAAGTACTCAGGTAAGTACAATATGTCTGCTGTGTTTGGGGAGAATCGTTATCTAAACAGTTGAACTTCACTGTCCAAGGTAGAGAGCTCCTTCCAAGGAGCTCCTTGCTTGTTCAATCAGTCTTGTAGAGAGTAGGTTCATAAGTTTTGACATGCGTTAAAATCACCAAAAGGTCTTGTTAAACAGATTTCTAAGCCCTATTCTCAGAGTTTCTGAGAAAGTTTGGAGCAGGGCTTTCAAAAATTCCCAAGTGATGCTTTTTCTATTCGGTCTGGGTATTTTGAAAGTTACATTTTGAAAGTCACTGCTTTAGCGGATATATTCAATTCCTCGGACTGGATGGAACTGATGAAATCTTATTCTACAGGTTTGACTGACCAGGTTTAATTGGCCTATATCCTACATGAAGGATGGGTTTCATATAGCCTTGTTTTATAGATACAGCAAAGCTCCCCCCCCACCCCGGTTAAGCACATTATTTTATTTATATTTTAAGTTTTTAATCACCAGTGCTCATCATGACAAGTGTACTCCTTAATCCCCATTGCCTTTTTCACCCATCCCCCCGCTTTCTTCCTCCCTGGTAATCAGCGATTTGTTCTCTATAGTCGAATCTCTTTCTTCGTTTGTCTCTCCTTTCTCCCCCCTTTCCTCATTTGTTTCTTAAATTCCGCATATGAGTGAAATCATATGCTACGTGTCTTTCTCTGAGTGACTTATTACACTTAGCATTAGTCAAGCACCATGCAGGTCATTGCAAATGGCAAGATTTTGTTCTTTATTACTGCTGAGTAATATTCCATTGTATGTATATACAACCTCTTCTTCATCCATTCATCAATCCATCAATGGATACTTGGGTTGCTTTCATAATTTGGCTATTGTAAATAATGCAGCTATAAACATAGAGGTGCATTATCCCTTTGAATTAGTATTTTTGTATTCTTTGGGTAAATACCCAGTGGTGAGATTGCTGGATCATAGGTAGTTTTATTTTTAATGCTTTGAGGAATCTCCATACTGTTTTCCACAGTGGCAGCACCAACAGTACAAGACAGTTCCTTTTTCTCCACATCTTTGCCAATACCTGTTGTTTCTTGTGTTGTTGACTGTAGCTATTTTGACAGGTTTGAGGTGATATTGTAGTTTTGATTTTTATTTCCCTTGTAATAAGTGATGGTGAGTATCTTTCATCCTTTCATGTGTCTGTTGGCCAGCTGTATATCTTCTTTTTTTTTCCTCCCATAGACTCCATATCCAGCATGGAGCCCAGGGCAGGGCTTAAACTCATAACTGAGATTAAGGCCTGAGCTGAGATTAAGAGTTGGATGCTTAATTGAGCAACCCAAGTGCCCATCTGTAGTTCTCCTTTGGAGAAACATCTGTTCATGTCTTCTGCACGCTATTAAATTAGATTATTTGTTTTTTGGGTGTTGAGTTATATCAGTTCTTTAGGGACTTGGATACTAACCCCTTATTAGGTACATCATTTGCAAATATCTTCTCCCATTCCATAGGTCGTCTTTTAGTTTTGTTGATTTTTTCCTTTGCTGTGCAGAAGCTTTTTATTATGATGTAGTGCCAGTAGTTTATTTTTGCTTTTGTTTCCCTTACCTCAGGGGACCTATCTAGAAAAAAGTAGGCTCCTGCAGGGAGCCTGATGCTGGACTTAATCCCAGGATCCCAGGATCATGACCTGAGTCAAAGGCAGACCTGAGTCAAAGGCAGACGCTCAACCATTGAGCCACCTAGGTGCCCCCAGATAAATCTGTTTTGAAGGAAAAACAAAAGTAGCTTTACATGTGGAAGGGAGAATTGCTGATAAGTGATTTGCAGTTATAGATTTTTATACTACTTGAAATTCTAACAGTAGTAATTTGAATTAATGAACAATTGTGGAAACTTCTTATGTATTAGTTTAAATTAGTTTTACAAAAACTCTGAATAATTGGTGGAATATATTAAGGGGAGGAATTGATGGTTCACAAGAGAATAGTATGAAAAGATGGGGTTATCTATAAGTCCAAGAACAAAGAAAAAGGTAAGGTGTGCCTATCCCAGAGTTTGCAAAGGCCAACCTTTTGTAAGAACAAAAATAACTCCTATAAAAAAACTCTTAATAAATCAGCCTATCTTAAAAAATAGAACACTTTAAAAAAACTTTTTATTTTTAGTTAGTAGTTATTTTATTTTTAGTTTGGTTATAAAGTGTATATAACAGAAGTTACCATATTAACCACTCTTAAGTGTACAGTTCAATGGTGTTAAGTACATGCACATTGTTATACATCCATTACCATCATCCATCACCAGAACTTTTTTATCTTCCCAAATTGAAACTATATTCTCCTTCTCCCAGCCACTGTGACCACCATCCTACTTTCTGTCTCTATAAATTTGAGTACTCTAGGTATCTCATATAAGTAGAATCATAAAATATTTGCCAATTTGTGATTGACACATATCACTTAACTGAAGATCTTAAAGATTTACCTATGTTATAAGTGTGTTAGAATTTCCTGGGTCCTTTATTTTTTTTTATTTTTTAATATTTTATTTATTTATTCACGCGCCACAGAGAGAGAGAGAGGCAGAGACACAGGCAGAGGGAGAAGCAGGCTCCATGCAGGGAGCCTGATGTGGGACTCCATCCCGTGTCTCCAGGATCACACCCTGGGCTGAAGGCGGCGCTAAACCACTGAGCCCCCCCACCCCCGCCCCCGGGCTGCCCTCCTGGGTCCTTTAAAGATTGAGTAATATTGTGCTTCTTTTATTTATCCATTCATCTGCCAGTGACATGAGTTGTTTCTGTCTTTTGGCTATTGTGAATAGTGCTGCTATGAACATGGCTGTAAAAAATATCTGTTCAATTCCCTATTTTCAGTTCTTGTGGGTATATATCCAGAAGTGAAATTGCTGGGTCATATGGTAATCATATATTTAATTTTTGAGACAGCACTATGACCATTTTCCTAGAATACTTTTTTGCAGAAGAAATTATGTGAAAGATTTAAACATCTAATGATGTTTTTAAGAATTGGATTTTTCAGTTCTAGAAATTTCATTTAGTTCTTTCTTAGGTCTTCAACTTACTATATTCATGTTTTCCTATAATCTTTGGGCCTATTTTTAATGGGTCTTTTTTTTTTTAAGATTATATTTATTTATTCATGAGAGAGAGGCAGAGACACAGGCAGGGGGAGAACCAGTCTCCATGCAGGAAGCCCGACGTGGGACCCGATCCCGGGACCCCAGAGTCACGTCCCGGGCCGAAGGCAGGCACTAAACCACTGAGCCACCCAGGGATTCCCCCTTAATGGGTCTTTAAGAAATGTTTTTCTGCTAATTCTGTCTCTCATTTTTGGATGTGTTTTTAGTGAATGACTTCTTTTGGGTTATGAGTCATATTTTCCTGCTTCTTTACATGGTTAGTAATATATTTTGGAGGTCAAACTTTGTGAGTGTTATCTTGCGGAGTGTCTGGATTATGTTGTCTTTTAAAGAGTGTTGAACTTTGCTTTAACAAGTAGTAATTTGCAGATCTATTTCAGGCTTCATTTTGAATTTTATTAAGGGAGGGCCAGAGTAGGCTTTACTCTAGAGCTATCATATAGTTCTACTATTATAGCATGATCCTTCTGTGGTTTCTACTGCAAGCCCTTACTATTAGATCCCTTCTCTCTAGCTGGTCTCCAGTTTTGTGTAATCTCAGGTTACAAATGCCTCATATTTCATTGTTCAACCTGGTGGAATGTGGTACAGCATCCACGTGACCTTAACTACTGATATTCATGGCCTTAACTACTGATATTCATGGCCTTTTGTAGTTCCCACCCACATTGAATCAGGGCCATCCTGTCTAAGTAATAGAATATGGCAGTGACAATGAGTGATTTCTAAGGTTAGATCATAAAAAGCATTTCGCTCTGATAGAACCAAGCCAACATAACTTGAAAACACCCAAGAAAGCCCTGTAGAGAGAAACTAAAGCTTTTCACCAATAGCCAGCATCTACTTAGCCACTGATGTGAGTCAGCCACTCTGGATATATCCTCTAGCTTCAGCTGATGTTTGACAGCAACTTCATCGTAGACCTCAAGTCAGAACTATCCAGCTTCTGAATTTCTGACCTACGGGAACGGTGTGGGATAATATGTTAGTTTTCTCAGGTTGCTGTAATGAGATATCATACACTGGATTACTTAAACAATAGAAATTTATTTTCTCACAGTTCTGGAGACCAGAAGTCCAAGATCAAGGTGCCAGTAGAGTTGATGTTTGGTAAGGGTTGTCCCCTTGGCCTGTAGACAGCCATCTTCTCATTGTGTGCTCACATGACCTCTTTTTTGTGCACAGAGAAATTAAGAAAGAGGGAGGCACTCCAGTGTCTCTTATAAGGACACTAATCCTATTGAATCAGGTCCCCATCCTCATGGCCTACTTTAATCTTAATTGCTTCCTTAGAGGTTGCACCTAAAAGTTAGCCATACTGGGACTAGTTCCTTGACATACGAATTCCAGGGAGTGGGGGAGTACAGATATTCAGTTTATAGCGATAGTAAGTTCTTATTTTTTATAAAGAAGGGGTACTATAACTAAAAAAATTTGCAGGCAAAGTGTTGAAGGCTTCTTTTCTACTGCTTATACTAAAATTTTATTTAAAAAAAATTTTTAAAGATTTTATTTTTACTTATTCTTGAGAGACACAGAGAGAGAGGCAGAGACCTAGGCAGAGGGAGAAGCAGGCTCCCTGTAGGGACCCAATGTGGAACGTGATTCCAGGGCCCTGGGATCATGCCCTGAGCCAAAGGCAGAAGGTCAATCACTGGGCCTCCCAGATGCCCCTGCTTATAGTAAAAATTTAAAGGAAAAACTACTAGATATAAAGGAGCCCGAACTCACAAAGCTCAGAAATAATTTTTTTTTCCTAAAAAAAAAAAAAAAAAAAAATCCCTACCTCTTCAGATGGCACATGATATTTAAATTAAGAAATGACTTCTGGGCAAAGAGAAAATCATAGCAAGGTGAGGACGTTTTCTAACAAGAAAATTTAGGGTGTGACTGTAAAATCCTTTCTTAAAATTTTTGTAGGATATTTAGCAGTGTCTCAGAAAATGGTTCAGATATGCAGAAGGCCCTCTGGGGACTTAAAGGGCATGACTTCCCTAGGTTAAACAGGAATTCCCCTAGGGATTTAGGGGTGTTCCCTCAGCACTTTCAGTAGAAGCTCTAAGTAAAAAAGAGCTCATTTTGACAAAATTTGAGTGTATCTTTGTCTAACAAAGTGAACTCACACAGTTTTTGAAAGTCAAAGATAGTAAAAAATAAAAAGAGGCCTTTGTACTGGCACGCTTTTATTTTACTTTATTTATTTATTTTTTTTAAGGTTTTACTTATTTATTCACGAGAGGCACAGAAAGAGAGAGAGGCAGAGACACAGGCAGAGGGAGAAGTAAGCTCCATGCAGGGAGCCCAATGTGGGACTCGATCCCAGGACTCTAGGATTATGCGCTGGGCTGAAGCCAGACGCTCAACCGCTGAGCCACCTGGGCTTCCCTACTGCCAAGCTTTTAAAGGCAGTAATTGGGCTGAGAAAACTACTCTGCCATAAACAGGTATCTTTTACAGAAGAAGAAATTTCACTCAGAAGGCAGAACTGAGATCCAAAGGTGGACACTAGAGCCATAACAGTTATTCCAAGATACTGGTAGGACTGAATTTTAATAAAGAACAACCAACATAAACCTGGCTGGATTCAGAATTGCTGTGTAAAGTAACTTCTAGGTATTTTCACTTTTCCTCCCAGTTTAAATAAGGAGTGTATAATACTTGTGTGTGTTTGAAACATTGCAAGGTGTGTAAAAAGCAAATTTGTCTGTTTGTGTTGCAGTCCTTCATAGCCTTCATGTTAAGGGAAATCGTATTTGAGGATTTTAATCCAATATGCACTTAAGAAGTCTTATCTATACCTGGACCTGATTTGGATGAAAAATGCTAGAATTCGAGCTGTTTTTTATAGTGTTTGTTTTAGGAGCTTCAGGAAGGAATGAGTATATTTTGAATTTCGGATGTGTGTGTGGTGGGACTAAAAGTATTAGAGCCAGAAGATGGATCATTGTTCTCAACCCCAAGAAGGTTCTCAATGCTCTTCTCCTGGCAGTCCCACAAAGTGATTTTTTGTGGCCAGTAGAATATGGCAGATGGCAGATGGTGTATGACTTCTAAGGTGAGGTCATAAGCAGTGTTCTACTTTTATTTTTTTTTTTATTTATTTATGATAGTCACAGAGAGAGAGACAGAGAGAGAGAGAGAGAGGCAGAGACACAAGCAGGCTCCATGCACTGGGAGCCCGACGTGGGATTCGATCCCGGTTCTCCAGGATCGCGCCCTGGGCCAAAGGCAGGCGCCAAACCGCTGTGCCACCCAGGGATCCCAGTGTTCTACTTTTTGCCCGTATTTCTTGGGTTACTCAGTGTGGGGCAATCCGGCTACTGTACTGTGAGGCTATTCAGGCAGCCCATTGGAGAACTGAGGCCCAGCCAGCAGCCAACACCCACTTGTCAGCCTTGTGAGTGAGTCCGCTTGGAAATGGATCCTCCAGCTCCTGTCAGCCCCATCTAATTGCGACCTCATGAGAGAGCCTGAGCTCAAACCACCACATCAAGGTGCTCTTGGATTCCTGACCCACAGACACTGAGAGATAAGCAAATATTTTAAGCCCCTAAAGTTTAGGGTGACTTGTTGCACAATATTAGATAATTAATATATAATAATTAATCCTGGGCATGTGCAGATTACTAACAAGTGAAAACCTCTAGGGATCACCTACATAGGTTTCTGGAACTCTCTGTGATACATAGATAGCTTCCTCTTATCTAGGACTCTGTCCTGTGAGTTCCAGCCCACTCAGCCTTCCTGAACTCTAACCTCTACCCTTTTAATTCAGCATAGCCACTGTGTTCTACCTGGATTCCTCCTCCCTGTGCTGTGGTCTAGAAAGTATGCATAGGCAAAAAAACCCACAATATTTTAGGGCTCAATTCCTTTGTTTCCTTTTCTTTTTGAATCAGTTCTTTGCTACCTTTTCTCTAGTGTCTAAAAACAGATATTTTCTATATTTTGTCTAGCTTTCTGTCTGTTCACAGTAGGAGGTCAAATCTAGTACCAATTGTTCCCACATGGCTAGAAGTGGAAATTGAATTTTAAAATTTAGCATAGTTGGTTTTCTTTTTTAAGTACTTCACTTTTTCCAAGTAATCAATATGTTACAAATCTTATAAATTAAAAGTATAAATTTGGTGGTCTTTAAGTTTTCCTGTGTGTTCCCATATTATTTACTAATTTGGTGAGATTTCAATAGAAAAAGACAAATTTAAATCAGTTAGACATTTATAATTAGAGTTAGGTGAGTCTCATTCTCTTAAATATTCCAAGTATATATAAGACACAGTTTCATTAACACAAATATTATGGATTTGGTCCTCCGAAATCCTTCTAAGTTCTAAATCATTACAAATGAAAAAAAAAGTGCTTATGCATTAAGGCTAATCAGCTAACAAACGATATAATTTCAGACAATTTGGAGGCTCTTTCCTATGTGGCTGAGCTTGCTAAACAACTAGTAAGTGCTGTGCCCAGATTGTCAGGGGCAAATTTGATATCTCAAACCCTACTTATCAAACACATGAACTTTATTTTTATGTTTTTAATATTTATTTATTTATTTGACAGAGGGAGAGAGCACAGGCAGGGGAGCAGCAGGGAGAGGAAAAAGCAGACTCCCCACTGAGCACCTTGTAGAGTTCATTTATTCATTCAGTAATTAATTGACTACTTACTGTGTGTTAGGCTGTGGGTGTAACAGTTGAGAAAACAAACATGATCCCTGCGTTAGGAACATTCAGTCTTGGGAACCTGGGAAGAATTTGAGGGAGAACTGCTGCTGCTGTTGGATCGGCAAGAATGAATACAAGTAGGGCAAGTAAAATGGAAGGAACACATTTTAAACAGAGGGATTCAAATGACAAAGCTGGGAAGGGACAAAGTTGGGGAAGGCTCTAGTCCATCCAGGGATTGTGAGATGTCCTTTGGGTCATACAGGATATAGGAATGGAGACTGAAAAGTGAGATTAGGGTCAGATAAAATGCCAAATTAAGGAATTTATATGATCTTTCTGTAAGCCTTTTCAGAGCCAATTAGCATTTTTCAATTGACAGCTGAAATCTAAGACATGGATTTTATATCTTGGTTAAAAAATACATTAATAATTTGATTCATATTAATCTAATCTATTAAGAATGTAGTTGATGTAGTTGTTTGTGTGCATGTGTGTAATCTGGGTGTTTTTTTTTTTTTTTTTCAGCCTTTACCCTACGAAAAGAAAATCTGGAAATGTTTGAAGCACTTGGATTTTTAGCTATCAAACTTGGTGTGATTCCTTCAGATTTCAGTTACGCTGGCCTTAAAGACAAGAAAGCCATCACTTATCAAGCAATGGTTGTTAGAAAAGTGTCTCCAGAGAGGTAATATAACATTACTTTGTAAGTTAGAACTTTACTTTCTTATTGCATCAAAGAAATAAATGTGAGATTGAAAACTCAGAACACTAGGAGCATATTAACCTCACTATCAATAGTAATTTATTGGGGCAGCCCGGGTGGCTCAGCGGTTTAGTGCCGTCTTTGGCCTGGGGCCTGATCCTGGAGACTTGGGATCGAGTCCCACGATGGGCTCCCTGCATGGAGCCTGCTTCTCCCTCTGCCTGGGTCTCTGCCTCTCTCTCTTTCTCTCTGTGTCTCTCATGAATAAATAAATAAAATCTTTAAAAAAAATAGTAATTTATTGACTAAAGGCTAATGGAGCAGCACATTCTGCCTTCATAATATGATTATCTTCTAAATAGCATTATGTCTTGGGGCAGCCCCTGGGGGGGCTCAGTGATTTAGCACCACCTTCAGCCCAGGGTGTCATCCTGAAGTCCCGGGATCGAGTCCCATGTCGGGCTCCCTGCATGGAGCCTGCTTCTCCCTCTGCCTGTATCTCTGCCTCTCTCTCTCTCTGTGTCTCTCATGAATAAATAAATAAAATCTTTAAAACAAAAATAACATTATGCCTTAAATTTTCATTGAAAATATAGGTAGTTTTAAGGCAGAAACTTTGAGACGTGGCAGATTTTAGATGATGAAGTTGCTTCAGGTCATAAAATAAATCTTAATATAATCCTATAATAATGGGTTTCTTAGTGCACATTTGTTGAAATAGCATTAACTTTTGAATTCCAAAAAACTTTTTAGTGTTCTGATATAAGTGGTTATCTAGCTACTGTCGTTTAAACTTTTTATTAATTTTTAAATGTAAGATTTAACAGAGTCTATATGATTTATCATTTATAGGTTGAAGAATATTGAAAAAGAAATTGAAAAGAAACGAATGAATGTGTTTAATATTCGATCTGTAGATGATTCCCTTAGACTTGGTCAGCTCAAAGGAAATCACTTTGATATTATCATCAGAAATGTAAGAAACCAAATAAATGATTCTACAAACCTGAGAGAGAGAATTTTGGAGGCAATAGAAAATGTTAAGGTAAGAAAACTCAATTTTAAAATAGTGTTATAGAAAAAAAATAAAATAAAATAGTGTTATAGGAAAATTTCGTAGTTCTCTTTACACTAAGGCAAGAAGGGAAATTTCTTTTGCTTTTGCACCTTTCCTTTTTATGTGCATATGTCATTATTTAAAAAAATGATAATTGGAACAGTTTGGCTTATTTTTAATTTTCTTCTTAGTACATTTTTTGTATTAAAAAAAACAAAGCTTTAATGTAATTAAAAAAATATAATGTATAGAGGTACCTGGAGTGTGGGGAGGGGAGCTATCTGTATAAGAAGAGACGTGTTTTTTGTTGTTTTGTATGTTTGGTTTTTTTAGCACGTGCTGTATAGAGTAGTATTTTAAGCAAAGGTATTAATTTTTTTGGAAATTTTGTTCTGCAGTTTTTTCCAGAAACCTTTGGTAAATAGTTATATTACTTATTAGAATTATGCACAATCTTTTTTTCTTTTCAATCTAATTGAATTTTTTCAACATGTACAAATGGTAAATCATATGTATTTTATTGTGTCTTACAATAAAAACTATTTAGCATAAATATATGTGACATTTGCCAGGCATCTAAATATACCCTAGCCTTCAGTCTGATCATCTAGACTAGGGGTTAGCAAGCTTTCTCTGTAAAGGGCCAGGTATTAATTTTTTTTGGCTTTCTGGGCATATGGTCTCTGTTGCAGCCACTCTGCTGCCCTTGTGTGGATGCACCCATAGATCATACATAAATGAATGAGCAGGATTGTGTTCCAGTAAAACTTTATCTATAAAAATAAGTGTTGCCCACATTTGACTTGTGGGCTGTTAGTAGTTTGTCAATCCCTGATCTAGACCCATAATCCTGGGATGCTTTTAGGCAATCTCAGTAGTCAGTCCCTACTCCCGAACCAATTAAATAAGAACATTTGGGAATACAGCTTTAGTTATTAGTATTTTTTAAAAAAAAACTCCCTAGGTGGGGCACCTGGGTGGCTCAGTGGTTCAACATCTGCCTTTGCCTCAGGTTGGGGTCCTGGCGTCCTGGAATCGCGTCCCACATCAGGCTCCCCAGAGGGAGCCTGCCTCATCCTTTGCTTATGTCTCTGCCTCTCTCTCTCTGTATCTCTCATGAATAAATAAATAAAAACCTAAAATAAATAAATAAATACATACATACATATTCCCTAGGTGATTTTACTCTACAGCTAACACTGAGAAGCACTGATCTCAGTAAGATTCTGATCATGAAGACCTTTTTACACAATTTTATTCCTCTCCAAAGGAAAAGAAACAAAACTGTTTTTTAATCACTATTCTTCTTTCTAGTTAGGAAAATGACTTTCCAACTAAAGATTTTCTAAATTCACATTTACCTTTGTATATACACTCTTTGATTGTATATTCTTTATATGGTAGTTTTTCCTTTTGTTTCTAGACCTATCTAAAGTTCTCCCCCCCCCCCAAAAAAAACTATTATTAAAATGAGATCCCTTAAAAAAGGGAGAGAGTTTCTTTGAACTGTGATAGCATTTATTGCCTGTCTTTCATTTGAAACTTATGGGTATATATTATAAGGCCCCCATTAGGAATGATTTTAGCTTTAGCTGACTTTCCTTTAATTCTGAAAATAAGATGTCTTTGAAGTTTTGTTCTTAGAGGGTTATAACTTTGACTTCTAGAGACCTTTTGTTATATCCAGCCCTAAGTAATTTGAAGGAGTACTTAAAGTTCTCCTGGTTATTCTAGTGTATTATTTGATATTATTTACCCAAATTTGAAATAATAATTGTTATGAGAAATACTCATAAACTGAGTGTGGAAGAACCTTATCTTTCAAGAAACCATCTGGACCTAGTGTTTTCTTTGTAAGAGCGTGTTTATCCACAGACCAATGTCTTTAAGGTTACAGAATAAATTACAATTCTCTACTCCTGGGGAAGTGATGCCATGCCATGCCATTGTCTTGGCCCAGGCCTTCAGAATCTGAGATAACTAAAAACTGAATTGTTATATATAAAGGAACCAAGACTTGCTGAGTTTGAAGCAAATTTACTTTAGCAAATTTATTTGTTATTCTTGGCATCTTCAGACAGCAGGAGCTTCTCAAAATCAGAAAGAGCTTCAGGGCAAAGATCAGATCCAGTCCTAGGTAAACACTTTATCCCACAACTCTGCTAGTTTAGCACTGAAAGTCTTGCATCCCACAGTACTCTTCAGTAATGTGAATGGAAAGCTGATATGTTTTTAAAGCTATTTGATGGTCTTATTTTCTAATTTTTAATTTTTTGGTTCTCTCCTTTCTATTCTTTAACTGTATAGCATTTCTTGGACCATTTGGCCCTTATGTGCATATTGCTGATTATAGTATTCTTTTATTAAAGTCAATATGAAGAGAAAGACTTGTTTACATATTCTGACACAGTAATTATATTTATTTGTTTACTCATTTTGGGCCCATGACAAAGAACCATAGACTGGGTGACTTTTAAATGTTGGAAATTTCTTAGAGTACTGGGGGCTGGAAGCCTGAGATCATGGTGCTAGTCTTATCTTCTTGTTGTATTCTCACAAGGTGAAAAGAGTGAGCTAGCTCCATGATCTTTTCTTATAAAGGCACTAATTCCATTCATGAGAACTTTACCCTCATGACCTAATTACTTCCCAATGTCCTTACCTCCAAATACCATCACATTGGAGGTTAAGATTTCAATGTATGAATTTGCGGAGGAACACAGGCATGCAGTCCATAACAATATACTTTTTAAAAAAGTTTTATTTATTTATTGGAGATCGAAAGGGAAAGAGAGCATGAGCTGAGGGGGCAGAGAGAGAGGGAGAAGCAAACTCTCCACTGTGCAGGGAGCCCCATGCAGGGCTGGATCCCAGGACCCTGAGATCATGACCTGAGCCAGATGCAGACACTTAACCAACTGAGCCACTCAGTTGCCCCACAGTATACTTTTAATTAATTGGTTTTCTTGTATTTGTAGAATAAGGGGTTTGTAAATTATTATGGACCACAGAGATTTGGAATGGGAAGGAAAGTTCACACCGACCAGATTGGATTGGCTTTGCTGAAGAGTGAAATGGTATGAATTTTAAAAAACTATGATCTGATTTGTTTTGTCAGTTATACTTATTATATAACCCAACCCTTTGCTTTCTTAACCCAGCATATGAATGCATATAGACACACACACACATATAACATATACTATAGTAATGAACATTTATTGAGCAGTTACTATATTTTAAGTATCACATTATAACAAAACAAACTGTATGTGATGTCCCTGTGTTTAATACTTGTTTGAGACTTTGCAGAGAATTTGAACAGCCCTCACCAAATTCTTAATGACTGAATAGAGGATTTAGAGGAAACCTAACATCCTACAATTCCAGAAATATGACATCAAATTATATAAAATTCCTGTTTCTCATTGCATTCAAACAAAATCTCTCCCCTTTTTTAAACCTTTTAAACCTCATATTCTATGCTTCTCTCTCTCTCTTTTTTTTTTTTTTTAAACTCTGCCAGAGAATTATCAGTTGTTGCTGTGTAAGAGATTACCCCAAAACTGAGTGGCCTAGAATGACAAGCATTTCTTTTCTCATTGTTCCTGGGGGTCACACATCTGGAAGCAGCCTAGCTGAGTGTTGGTGTGTCAGGGTCTCTCATGGTGTGTAGTCACACTATCAGCCAGGGCTGTTATCTTTGGAGACTTGACTGGGAACAGAGGATCTGCTTGCATGATTGCAGAGGATCTTCCTGCCATGGTTGTTGGCAGGAAGGTTTAGTTTTTACCATAGGGCTACTCATGGCATGATTTCCCCACGAGAGAGGAATCCAAGAGCACAGAAGAATGAGACAGAGACCACAACAAAAATCGCAGTGTCCTTTGTAATGGAATCTTGGAAGCGACATCTTTACTTCTGCTCTGTTCTACTTACTGGGCACACAGACCTACCCTGAGAAGTATCGGGGTGGCAGAGGTGGGGACTGCAATAGGTGCAAGTACCAGCCAGTGGAGGTCATTGGGAGCCAACTTAGAGGCTCGCCCACACCTGTATTTTCTTTCCTTTGAAGTATCGCCCCCTCCCCAACCCTTACATTCTCTACATCTCAATTTAAATTCTCATCCCACTGCCAAGAAAAATTGAATTCTGCTTATCTTGTGACCTCAAACCTCTTGGGCTTCCCATCTTGGGTTTTATTATATTTTATTGTTATTGTTTGTTTAATCTTTTCCACTAAACAAACATCATGTCTCTCTTGCTCAGTACTCCATCCTTAGTACTCTGCACAGTGCCTAGCACATAGCAGATGCTTAGCAATATTTATTTGGATGAATTAGCTTCTTAACATATATTTGAATGAATGAACGAATACTGTAAAATAAGGTTTAGTGTGATTTTAGGTTGAATGATCTATCTTAAGACCCTTTCCTACTCTGAAACATATACTTAGAAATCACAGTGCTAGAGACAGTATAATAATAATAATAATATAATAATAATAATAATAAATACAGGACCTCATAGATACCATTAATAAAAGGAACATCTTAGAGTTTTTATTTTTTTATTTTTTTAAAGATTTTTTATTTATTCATAGAGATGCAGAGAGAGAGAGAGAGAGAGAGAGAGAGGCAGAGACACAGGCAGAGGGAGAAGCAGGCTCCATCCAGGGAGCCTGACGTGGGACTCGATCCAGGGTCTCCAGGATCACGCCCTAGGCTGCAGGCGGCGCTAAACCGCTGTGCCACCAGGGCTGCCCATCTTAGAGTTTTTAAAAGAAAATATTAAAGTTACTAATTAAAAAAAAAAGATTTTGGCAATTATTTGAAAGACCAAACAATTCCAAGACTTGAGAACAGGAATGAAATTAGTGGTTTGGGGGGATCCCTGGGTGGCTCAGCAGTTTGGTGCCTGCCTTCGGCCCAGGGCATGATCCTGGAGTCCCAGAATCGAGTCCCATGTCGGGCTCCCTGCATGGAGCCTGCTTCTCCCTCTGCCTGTGTCTCTGCCTCTCTCTCTCTCTATTATTTTATTTATAAATAAATGCCCCCCCCCCCCCCCCGAGCAGCCTGGGTGCCTCAGCGGTTTAGCGCCTGCCTTCAGTCCAGGGTGTGATCCTGGAGTCCTGGGTTCAAGTCCCACGTCAGGCTCCCTGCATGGAGCCTGCTTCTCCCTCTGCCTGTCTCTGCCTGTGTCTGTCTTTCTCTCTCTGCGTGTCTCTCATGAATAAATAAATAAAATCTCTAAATAAATAAATAAAATCCCCCCCCCAAAAAAATTAATGGTTTGCCATCCCCCTATGCTTGCCATCCCCCCTATGTTTTTGTTATATATGTTGGTCAAGTCTGAGTTTTATGTCATTCATTACTTTACACTTGCATTCCTAGCTCCATGATAGAGGTAAAGAATGACAGAAGTAGAACTATGGATGATAGGGGGTGTTTTTTCCAGCCCATAGTATTTTAAACCAATGTATAAAGTTGCTTTGTACAAATCTATTTCCAAATATAGCACTATTTAATTTTTGAAAACTTGGAGATATAATTGCAGTGTCAGATATCATTTGTTAAGTGCCTATTTTATGATGCCAGATAATTTGTATCTTTTTTTAAAAAGTAAGTAATTTGTCATTTTCGTTTAACGTATGTTTGCTTGCTTGGTTTTTTAAAGGTGAAGGCTGTAAAATTATTTCTTACACCAGAAGATTTGGATGATCCTGTAAATAGAGCAAAGAAATATTTTCTTCAAACTGGTATTTAAAAATTTCTTTATTCCATACATGGTCATGAAATACATAATACAGATGATATATCAGCAGGAGGGCATTCATCACTGCATAAATGTGATAGGAAATAGATTATAATATAATATATTATATATTTAATAATTTTATTACATACCCAAGACACTCAGTTTTGGCAAAATATCCAAGACTCTTGCTTGGGAGTAGGAGTGAGGAGAGCAATAGTATCTTAGTTTTTCTTGGTCTAAATCCTCAAGATAAGACTTTCAAATTCTAAACTGGTACCAATGGAAGCATATACTACAACCATGGGAGACTTAAAAACAAACTACATAAAAGTTTAATTGTTATATCTAATATTTTGTGCATTGTTTTTGGTTTAGTTGCCATTCAGCCCTGTCAGTTTGGGCACTTTAGCTCAATATGATGATTTAAATGCAGAATGCTTCCTGGGAAACACTTAAGGAAAGCGTTATGGGTGTGGGTTCTAGTCACTCCTCATGGGTTTGACTTTCAAAATGACTTACATGTTTATTTTTTTTATTTTTTTATTTTTTAATTTATTTATGATAGTCACACAGAGAGAGAGAGAGAGAGGCAGAGACATAGGCAGAGGGAGAAGCAGGCTCCATGCACTGGGAGTCCGATGTGGGATTCGATCCCGGGTCTCCAGGATCGCGCCCTTGGCCAAAGGCAGGCGCCAAACCGCTGCGCCACCCAGGGATCCCGACTTACATGTTTATATCTATAGTTCTGAGAATATCATTTCCTATGGCAGTGATTCCTAAACTTTAGTGTGCATAAGAAACACCTAGTACATTACTAAAATGAGGATTCCTACCTAAAGAAGTATCTTTGCAGTAGAGTTCGTTAATTTAAGTTTAAAAAGTATCCCATTAGCAAGGCCTGTTAGCACACTTGAAGGATCTAAGGATCCAACCCTTTCTTACTCAAAAGATTGTGTAAATGTTCGTAATAGCTCTTTAAAAATATGTAGTCTCAGAGGTTTATTTAATGATTTTTTTGAGACATTCTCTGAATAATTGCAAGTTAATCTCCATTCTGAAGTAGGTATTACTAATGTGCTTTTTGCTACTTTTTTTTAAAGCAGGGAAAGTGAATGGAGAATGGACCATATGATTAATGATCTTTATTAAGCAGACAAGCTCTTCAGGTGTAACTAGGTTTATACTTGGTACTAAACATCCTCTTCATATTCAAGTTTATAATATAGCACAGTTCATTGCCTCTCATTAGAGGGCATACTAAAGGTCTTTATAACTGGCCTTTAAACGAAGGTAGTTGACTCACTGACTTTCTCTTTATTTCAGAGGATGCCAAAGGCACACTTTCATTGATGCCTGAATTCAAAGTTCGAGAGAGAGCACTGTTGGAGTCATTGCATCGCTTTGGCATGACTGAGGAGGGTTGTATCCAGGCATGGTTTTCTTTTCCCCATTCTATGCGCATATTCTACATTCATGCATATAGCAGCAAAATTTGGAATGAGGCGGTATCTTACAGACTTTCAACCTATGGATCAAGAGTAGTAGAGGGTGATTTGGTCTGTTTGGATGAAGATATTGATGATGAACACTTCCCAAGTAGTAAAGTAAGTATCATTTACTCAAAGTTGTCAAGAATGGTTACCACGCTAGGAATATTAATTTTCAGAAGCCTTTATTTCAGAAACAATTTAGAGCTAAATGTACATTTTATTTTTTTATTTGTATTTGCTTATCTTCTGTTTCTGTGCTTTTAGCTAAGGCTTAACACATGTCTGTAAATGGTAAAATAAAAATAAGACACTAAGCAAAAGGTACAAAGATAGTAAACCTTCCTTTAAAGAAATGTCCTTTAAAGAACATTGTAAAATCTTTAAAGAACATGTTTTAAAAAATTACAGAAGTAATGCACAAAATAGTGCCATTAAATGTGAAAAATCAAAACTACATATGAAGCTGTCATCTTGTCACCACTCTTATTGTCTTTCCCTCTTCTGTGTTCAAGAAATCAATCTATGTTTTTGTCCTGTGTCCTAGACCTTTGTCTATGCTTTCCCATAAATATCCATAGAAGAGTATATTTTTATTCTTTTAGCTAACACTGAGAAAAGAAAAAAAAAGAGCTTAGAAACTCAGAACTTGAAATATGAAAAAGAAAGAATACAATTTTTGTAATAATGGTATATGGAGTATGTAATGGTGTATTTCTTTTATATAAATGTGATTTTGTATAATTGCAATTTCACAATTTGTTTTTTTCCTCTTAACAATGTCTTAGAGACATTTATATTAATGAATTTATAATTTATATTATAAAAGTTGATTCTTCATTTCCTCTCTGTCCAACTAGTACTTTTATCTTTGTGAGTTTGAACAATTTAAATAATGAAACTGAATTCCATAAGTCAAGTAAAGAAATTTATTTTATAATATAATACAAAAAGAACCAATTATAATATAAAAATAACATTATCTCAAGTTAGTGTTACAAATATAAAAATGAAGGGATTTGAGTAGTGCTTTCATATATAACATTATAAAATCTTTGAATTTTAAATGAGAGAAGTATCTTAGAGATCCTCTTTTTTTAACTCTCATTTTAAAGAAACAAACATCAAGAACAGATTAAGTGATACATGTAGTAGAATTAAAACAAGAACAGATTAAGGATACATGTAGCCTTAGCCTGAGTTGGTCTCCACCAGAGAAATCATGGAGTATAGAAAAGGTGTCAGCATCTAGAGGGAGAACATGGCCCAGTTTTTAAAAAATGAAAAATAGACTCAACTCTATATAAAAGAAGCTTTATCTAAATTAATGGTAGAAGTCTGGATGTATGAATTAAGCGTTATGTTCATTTGGTTGGTTGATTTTGGTTTGGGATTTGGTTTTGGTTAAGTAATAGAGATCTATCTTGGACTAACTTAAGGAAAAGCAGACAGTAATTCATTGGCTCTCATAACTGAGACTGATTGATTCAGACACAGCTATATCCAGGGGTTAAGCAGTCTCCTAAATAACCTATCTCTTATTTTCTTCATCTTTCAACTCTGTTTTCCTGTGTTAGAACCATTCTCAGTTTGACTTGTTCTTTCAGTGGCAAGATGGTTATGAGCATCTCTAAGCTTATTTCTTACAACTTGTAGAGAAGATAATTTTTTTCCCCATGGAATTAAGTGTCTTGGGCTAGGAATGGCCTGGCTTGGGTCCCATGTCCAAGCCCAAACCAATTATTGTGGCCTGGAGTATGTTCCAAAAGATCATTCCTGGAATCATCTCCCCTAAATCATGTTTGAAAACTGGAAGGGGAGCTTCCTGAAAATGAGGGTGCTACTATTAGAAAAAAGAGTAAAGGCTGAGCAAGCCAGAACAGCAGATGTCTGCTTCACTGTTTCATTGAATGGGTAGCTTATGAGTATTTAGATAAGAAAGTGATCACTAAGAATGGTCATTTAACTGAGACAAAATCTGAAACTATAAAAAGAAATCTAGGGGCATTATAGGTTTTATTTTATCTCATGAGTGGAAGAAGAGATGTCAGTGATTCCCTTTTGTCAGTGATTCCCTTTTAATAGTGAAAAATCAGGTTTTTTCACACATTCCAGAAAACATTCATTTAAATATTACCTGGGCTACACATTATTAAGTTAGTCATTCCTAATTCAGATTTTCAGAAGTTAAATGTTACTTTGACAAGACATGGTAATAGTCTACGAAATTCGTGTCTTACAAGACTTCTTTGTTCAAAGTAACATTTGCAAGGACAGTTTTGTGATAAAAACTATCTGTTTCTTTGGAGCTATAAAAGAAAGGAAACCATTTCTCCGTCATATCTTGCTAGGTTTCCGTCTATTAACAAAAAAAAAAAGTCTTTATATATATTTAAGACCAATCATTTATACTTTATTAGTTAGCACTAAGAATAGAAAAAGCAGGACTTACAGGCCCAAAATGAAAAAGACAGTAAAGTTTCTGTTATCAGAAATCTCAAATCTATCTATCAGAAATCTCATACTATTTAATATAGTATATTGAGACATGTAATATTGTGCATCTGCAGTTAAAAGTTGTAGGCAACTAATATGATTCTTGACAGGATTGCTAGACTAACAGATACACCTTTATTTCAAGTCACTTGGTAGATTTTCAAATAATTTCTTTGTGAACAAGATGGAGAAATGTGTTAGACAATTAAAAAGTTAGGTGAATTCATAGTTGGGAAGGCGCCAAATACCAAAAGCATGTTTGTTAATGAAGGAGTCGATTGATATCAACCTAGTGGGAGTTCTCTAAACATGAAACATGATCTTCTGTACTTGACCATGTTTTTCAGTATTTTCATAATTTATATAAGTTACATTATTGTACATAGGCTTGGAGTTTGTGAAAGAGAGCTAGAAATGATGATGCAGAGAGATCCTCATCCCATGAATTTTGGTCAGATCACAGCTAAAGTTTTATATCCATTTCTGAGTCCACAACTAAAAGTGTACTTAGCAATAAAAAACATACAAACCCCAAAAGAAAAACGAAAGGGGAGGCAATAATTATTTATTAGAGAACTAGAGATTATTGCCCTCAAGTGCAGACTTGAAGGCAAAGCCAGCAGAGTTAGAGGGGATCTGGACCCTACGTTATTTGATGAATGCTTTAGGAAGGGAGGGATGCTATTCATCTTTGTTTAATGATGACAGCAGCCTTTATACCTGAACTTTGATGTGCTCGAGAAATCAGAATGACTTATTCTATAGTGTCCTATAGCAACATTTCTCAGACTTAACATACACTTCGTTTTTCCCCCTGCTCTTATTACTGTTCTATAAAACACATTTTGAGAAACACTACTTCTCAGAAAGTATTATGATACTTGTTGGGGACAGAGGTGGAGTGGTTTCCCAGAGGCAGATTTTTATTTTTTAAAGATTTTATTTATTTATTCATGAGAGAGAGAGAGAGAGAGGCACAGACATAGGTAGAGCTCCTTGGGGAGCCGGATGCTGGACTCCATCCTGAGACTCTGGTATCACACCATGAGCCAAAGGCAGATGCTCAATCACTGAGCCACCTGGGCTTCCCCCAGAGGCAGATTTTTAATTCAGCATAACAGTTTTGTAAGCTAGGAAAAGCTGTTGGTGATGAGGTAAAAGTATTGCCTCGGAATGTTAAGCTACCACCATTCTCTTTGTGTTTCAACTTCAGTTATTAGTGGTTAAAGCAGGAAGTATCATTCTAATTTTTTATGTAGTCTAGAAACAAATTCTGAAAATAATCTTGTTGGGGGATATGTATATTCAGCATAGGAGTCAAATTATACATAACAGGGAAAATTGAGGAAATGGATCATTCATATTTTTGTCATGTTTTTAAAATATAGGTTCATCTAGTAACTGAAGAAGAGGAGTCAGCTAGCACATATGCAATACATCAGGTAAATTTGTTAAAAAATTGATATATCACTTAAAGTGTAGATACTATATCCGAAAGACAAAATGTAGATATATCCAAAAGTCCTTTTCCCCACCTTTTTCTTTTTCTTTGCCTTTTTTTTTTTTTAAGATTTTATTTATTTATTCATGAGATACACAGAGAGAGGCAGAGACCTAGGCAGAGGGAGAAGCAGGCTCCTCACCTGGAGCCCAATGTGGGACTCGATCCTTGGACCCTAGGATCACGACATGAGCCAAAGGCAAAAGGTCAACCACTGAGCTACCCAGGCATCCCCCACCTTTTCCTTTTAACCACTTTTTAATTCAGGTACAATTTTTATACAATAAAAATCTCTCTTCTCAGTTTAAAGTTGTAAGAGTTTTGATAAACATATGCAGCCTTGTGACCAACACAAAAATCAAGATGAAGAACATTTTCATCTCTCCCTGTGCCCCTTTTTAGCAAGCCCCAGCCCCTGAGTGGCTCATCCATTTACTACCCCTACAGTTTTGCCTTTGAAAGATTGTCAAATAAATGGAATCATACAGTATGTGGTCTTTTATGTCTGGCTTCTTTCAATTCGCATAATGAATTTGAAATCCATTCATGTCGTTTGCATTTGAATTTTTTACCTTGTTCTTTTTTCTGACTACCTTTTGGTTCAAGAAAAATGTCTAGAGGGATCCCTGGGTGGCGCAGCGGTTTGGCGCCTGCCTTTGGCCCAGGGCGCGATCCTGGAGACCCAGGATCGAATCCCACATCGGGCTCCCAGTGCATGGAGCCTGCTTCTCCCTCTGCCTATGTCTCTGCCTCTCTCTCTCTCTCTCTCTCTCTCTCTTTCTCTCTGTGTGTGTGTGTAACTATCATAAATAAATAAAAATTAAAAAAAAAAAGAAAAATGTCTAGAAATCATCAAAGGAGGAAAGCCCTGCAAACTGTAGTGTCTTTTTATAATTAGCTGAGCAAAACACTGTAGTTGCTGCTATTGGTTTGCTTTAATGTTTTTAAATAGGTAAGAAGAATGTAAAGGTATCAACCAAAATACCAATTATATCATTGAGTAGTAGGGTTATTCTTTGTGATACAGAAATAATATGCTTTTAGGATTGTATGACTGCATTGGGATTAAGTTTTTGTCAGTTAATTAAATATATCAAAGCTTCTTGTTTCCTGTCTTCTATATTAACAATAGTTTGATAATATCTGACTTGAGTTGGTTACCTTGGTTATTATGCATCCTTCTTGATTTTATTTAGTGCTTTTCTTTGCCTGGCAGCATTTAAAATAATCAAGGTAGTATAGTGTTCACTAGCATATTTTAGGCTGATTGTAATGTTTAGATCCTGAGACATAATGATATCTCAGTGATTTTCATATATACCAGATCTCAGTGATATAATGACCATATATTTTTCTGAAGGCACTTACTAGTGACTTTGGGCATGTTATTGATTCTTTCTGAGACTTAAAGAATCAGGACAGCACCAACCTCATAACCAACAAGTAATAGGATTGTCTCTACCTTTTATGTTGCTAGAGGAAGAAAACATTTTGCCCATTTGAAAATTGAAATACTTGTTTAAGTATCCCACATCATAAATCATCCTTAACCACTTTATATCAGTTTAATTTGGGAGGAATGGTATATGTTGATCAGGAAGGTCTAACATTTCTTTCATTGTATTTCATGTATTTTTTCCCCTTCTTCTGCACAGGTGGTTCTTCCAGTGCTTGGATACAACATTCAGTACCCAAAGAACAAAGTTGGGCAGTGGTACCAGGACACACTTAGCAGAGATGGACTACAGACGTGTAGGTTTAAAGTACCGACTCTAAAACTCAATGTTCCAGGATGCTATAGACAGATATTGAAACATCCCCATAATGTCTCATACCAACTAATGGAAGAACATGATACTGATGTCAAAACTGAAGGTTCCCACATTGATGAAGCAACTTTATCTCTTCAGATCTCTTTCGATCTTGATGCTTCCTGTTACGCGACAGTGTGTCTGAGGGAGATAATGAAGCATGACTTTTAGAATCACTACCCTTGCTATAATCATATATATATATGTGTGTCACTATTTAAAAGAGAGGGAGCTAAAATTTCTCGAGCACTTGCCACATGCTAGAAGCCTTACAATTGTTAGCTCCTGTAATTACAAAACATCCTGATGAAGTAGAAATTTGCTGATGTTCTAGAAGACATATAGCTAGTAAGCATCTGAATTTAAGACCCCAAAGCCTTTGTTCTTTCTATTATCTAATGTTTCAGTCATCTTTATTCTGTGCTATAAAATTTGTAATCTTCTTTTACTATTCAAGACAAATAATCCTGCAAGATAACATGTAAGAAAAAAAAAACGTTTGGAGTAATGTTTATATCCTCTAGCTCCTTGCTTAGAATGTAGAGGAAACTAGACTGGTGAAAGCACATGGTTGGAGAGAAAGCGAAATGAAGCATTTTATTAATTATTGTCATTCTTTTCTGTTTTTGAAATTATTGATCAGAATAATTTCATTAGGGAAATGTAATCCCTCTATTTATGATAGCTACCTGAGGGTAGTTTACCTCCTTTATGAGATAAATTATCTTCAGTGAAGATTGAAATAAAATTTTTTGTACAATTTCTTTATCTCAACATACATTGACCCTCTTGACTTTTTTGTGATTATTATTTTTTCAAAGATTATATTTATTTATTCATGAGAGACACAGGGAGCAGAGACGCAGGCAGAGGGAGAAGCAGGCTCCATGCAGGGAGCCCAATGTGGGACTCGATGCCAGGTCTCCAGGATCACGCCCTGGGCCGAAGATGGCGTTAAACCGCTGAGCCACCCAGGCTTCCTTCTTTGTGTGATATTTTTGTCTGCTATCTAAAACCTAGATTTTAGAGTTGGGGTTTAGATCGGGGAGGGATGGCATATATTGATCAGGAAAGTCTAATGTTCTTTCATCGCTGGTAGTATAACATGATGAAATTTAAAAAGCAGTATAGAGCATTATATGTCAGTAATGTGGTGCTTTTATATACTCAAGTCAAACTATTTTGGGTATAGTAACATCAGGAAATAAAATTCAAAAGAAGGAAAAATGTTATATGCAATGTAAAATATGCTCATTGCAACATTTTTATGTAAGATGAAAGAAATGATAAATAGTTTGAAAATCCAGCATCAGACAACAAAAGTAAGTAGAATGAGGTGTATCACCTTCATGGCAAAACATGTAGTTATTAAAAGTGATGATAGAAGTTTAGGTATGCAAGAAAATGTTGCCTCTCAAAACCAGAACAGAGATATTATAGATGCAGTATGCACACTATGCACACCGAATGCAGCTTTTACAAAGAGGCATTTTAGCATTGTGACTAAAAGCACAGTTACTACAGAAAAACTCCCCAAGTTTGAACTGTGGCTCTGCCACATAGCATGTGGCCTTGGACTAGTTATTGAAGCTTTCTGTGCCTTTGTTTCAACATCTATGAAATGAGAATGGTATTATGCCTACCATTATTATTGTGAGGATTCACCAAGTTCATACCAAAGCAGCTTGGAAAAGTACCTTCTACTTAGTTATTGTTAAATAAGTATCCACAGATGCAAGGGGGCATCTTGGGCAGAAAGGGAAAAAATACGAAAATCAGTTTCTTTTTTTGTCATTATATATTTTAATAATAAATGAATCTCAGAACACAAAATTAGACTTTGTAGTACCATTGGATTTTTAAACTTAACCTTTGTCATCTTACTATTTACTGAAAATAAAATGCTATAGTAAGTGGTAAAATATTTAGAAAAAATATGCCATTTCATATGGTAAATTATATCCTGCAAATGTAATCAGAAAGTGAATTATGTAAATTCTTAAATTCTAGGTGTCTTTTATTTTTTTTTATTTTTTTTTTATTTTTACTTATTTATGATAGTCACACACAGAGAGAGAGAGAGGCAGAGACACAGGCAGAGGGAGAAGCAGGCTCCATGCACCGGGAGCCTGACGTGGGATTAGATCCCGGGTCTCCAGGATCGCGCCCTGGGCCAAAGGCAGGCGCTAAACCGCTGCACCACCCAGGGATCCCCTCTAGATGTCTTTTAAATGTTGAGTAGTAATTAGTAAATATGAAAGTATTAAAATGTGCTATCATTGATATTTTCTTTGCCTGTAGATGGCACTATAATTTTAGAGATCTTATTTATGTAAATACTTTAGCCACATGTAAAGAAAGCATCACTAAACTTATTGGAAGTCACCATAAAATGTACTCAGATACTGTTGCTGTGGAAAATTATTTTACATACAAATGATATTTGACATGTTAATTTTCTTTCAGTGTGAGTTGAGGCCTTGAATATACTTTTTGGACCAGATGATGACCAGTCTTGTAGGTTTTTGCAGTTTTCCTGGGCATTTCAGGCCTTTAAAAGGATAATCTTTAATTTTCAAGGTTATTTTTGAAACTGAGCAATAGTGTTTCAGGATTACCAAGGTGAAACAAGTTGAGGTCTTTTTATTAAGCTAAAAAAACCACTTTGATATTTGTGACTTACGCCAAACTGAAAGTCGTGTAAGATTTGATTCAAGTAACTTTTATTGTTTGTTGTGCCAGTACTTCTGCTTCTCTCATTTGAATCCATATACCCAACCTATAGGTAGGTAATATTTTCCCTGATTTTGCAGATGGGAAGATACCTGAGTGGTTTACTGACCTATTTAAGGTCAAACAGGATAGTATGTGACTAAACTTGGTTATGCTTTGTAGAACAGTATTGTTTTCATATACCTAATATTTGCCATCTGAAAACAAGTTTTTTTGTTAATGACTTTCATTTCCACTAACTCAGTATTCCTTGCCACTGATTAGTAGGCATATTGGAGCACGTCTTGAGAGAAGCAAGATTCCTTTTGAGATTCTAAGACCAAAATAAAAGTAAAGGAGAGCCTTTAGGAAATTCCCAAATCATTTTGGAATATTTTCCAGAACATTTTGGGACTTGTATCATAATGATAGGCAAAATTATTATAGGTCATAGGAGGTTAATGTAGATGGTACCTGGCACAATATTAATATTGAATAAGTATAGTGAAAGATTTGCTTCTTTTTTAGAAAATCTTATGAAACACTAACAGCAGTGTCCAGCACCTAAATTCTCAATGTTATCTACTGTGCTAAATGATGAAAGTTTTACAGTGGAATGGTTAATGACTTCCCCTTGAGATCTGTTCTGACTCTGTCTTAGCATAATTACAATTCACACTTTTAGATTTATTTTTTTGTTAAGTGGAAATAACTATTTCTAAATCTGGGAGTTGAGCAATTCATTCAAATTAAGATCTTAAAGAACTATCTAGGTCAATGTTTTCAATATATTCCACCTGGGAACTACCTTTAGGAGACCAAAAAGAAAATGAAACCCCAGGTTAACAGTGAAGTTTTCTTGCATTAAAGATAGGAAAAGAGGTTGGAGGAAGATATGGGAGTTAGGAAAATAGGATTCTCTTTTTTTTTTCTCTATTTACCTCTGTTACATTTTTAAGTAAGAATTTATTTGTATATTAATTTTGCAATTAAAAACCTTGAAGAATACTTAAGGCTCAGAGAAGGTAAGGTAAGGCAATTGGTGGGTTATGTTGACATTATTTTCAGCATATTGTCAGAAAGAAGTTTATGATTATACGTTTGAATGGCAGTAAATACAAGTTTAAAGTTTAGTACCTGTGCTATGGACTTTGCTTTCAGATTTGGAAAGGTTCTGCCTAAGAAATAGCTTGAAGTCTTTTTTTTTTTTTTTCAGATTGTATTTATTTATTCATGAGAGACACATTGGAAGGCAGAGAAATAAGCTGAGGGAGAAGCAGGCTGCCTGCAGGGAGGCCAGTGTGGGACGGGGATCATGACCTGAGCCAAAGGCCGATGCTCAACCACTGAGCCACCCAGGCACCTCTAGCTTGAAGTCTTATGGTATTGTTTTAGTCTATTTTTCCTGAGCCCTTCTGCTTTGCCTAGTTTTGATAGGCCACTAAACAATGCCAAATGTCTGACATAATGCTCAACAAATATTTGAGTACCCCTAAATTAAAAGCACTCTATATGATACTGTGGGGAAGACAAAAATAAATCAGGTAATATCTCTGCCTTTGAGGGATTAACAGTGTCCTATCCTTTCAGATATCATTTAATTTGAAATGTTATCTGCAAAAAGGATATGCAGGCTAAATGACAAGGATAAGAACAAGCAATGTCTTTTCCATTTCATGTATAGCTCACTGTATGGTCGATAATATGTTACTTGACCCCTCAGCACTTCATCCTGAATCCTTCAATGATACTTATATTAGCATTTCTAAGCATTTTGAGATCTCTTCTTAAAATATGCTTTGAACTATTCAGTCTAAATGCTGCTTTCTCGAAAGCTACTACTCTAAAGAATGGGAAATGGTGTTAATGGAGTTAATCTTGTGTAATTTCAGTGTGGGTTGTCAGGAATATCTTTAAGTAAAGAAAATGACTCTAATCTCCTTAAGCAATTCATTTTCTCAGCTGCTGTGAGGCGGGAGCTAATTTACTCTGCCTGTGTACATAGACCCTGTCTTACTAAAGAGAAATTTTACTCATGGAAAGAAGTCAGGGCATCCATGATATTATTTAAGTTTAGAGATATCTTAGAAAATATTATAAAATATGATATACTAAATTGTCTTTTTCATTATCAGTTTCCTTAATACCCAACTCAATTACCCATATAGAAATGAAATCCCTGTTACAAGGAAGAAATTTAATTATGGAGTCAAAACAAGAGCTATTTAGTTGTTTTTAAAGGGAAGAGATCAAAGAACTGGTCACTCCTTAACTGAGGGTGTTCAAGCAGCAGGATGGGGGGTGGGGAGTAGAGAGGGTTAGGATTCAATTCTTTATGCTTTTATTCCTTTTCTGATGAGCCCTACTGGCATTCTCGTAGACTAGTTAGGTCAGGATTCTGAACTTTTCACTACAATAGGGTTTTAATCTTAGCTGATTATTGTTTCCACCCCCACCCCTAGTCATAAAGGACTAGTGTTCTTTTCTAAAAAGAGAAGATGAAGACTATTTCTATAAAAAAAAAAAAAAAACACTCCAACAAACCTTTATAAGCTTTTTTCAGTTATAGTACAAATTTTTTTTTTTTTTTGCATCTGATTTTCAAAAGGAAACTAAGGTTTAGGTTGCATTTTTTCAGTAAATTAATCTTAAGGGAAATCTAATAAATTTTTATGGTATGTGGATAATAACAATGCACTTTTCCTATTTAGAAATCATTTTAGAAAATTTGAGAAGCAGTTATTCCTAATTTAAAGAGCATTTCCAAGGCATTGAAAGAAAATTTTAATTTCATAGTGAAGCGTTTGATGGTTGTGTTTTTTTTATGTACATATTCTCTCTAGTTTTGATTATTGTGATAATTTTCTAGCTGACTGCCTCTGTTCTTCATTCTAACCAGTCCATCCTGTGTACTAATGTCAGTTAAGCTTGTAAAAGTAGAAATCTGGTCCCGTCATTGTGTTTTGGCTATTTAGCATTTCAGTGGCTTCCCAGTATCTATGGAATATAAGTCCAAACTCCTAAACATAGCAGATATATATCTGCACAGTATGACTTCAAATTCTTTCAAGTGTCATCTTCCACACTCTAGAAAACATACCTTTTGTTTTAGCTCTTTTTGCTCTTTCCCAAATATGTTTTCCTATGTTCTACATTTCAACTTCCCATTCTTGTTGGTAGAATGTCTTTTCTGCTTAGGTTAAATATCTTGTCTGTGAAATCCATGTTCTCATAACACTTGTCTATGTCTGTACTGTCTCATTAGTCACATTGCATTATACTTATTTGACTAAATATCTGGCTCATCTAACTATTCAAAGGCATTCATCCTTATACCTTAGGGACTCATCAGTGTCTAACATATAATAGGTTAAAAATGCTGAATGAATACCACAAACATAACTTAGTAAATTTATTTGGTAAATATATATTATAATATATATAATCTCAGGAAAGTTCTAAAATAGTTCTTTACCCTCACAGAAAGTTTAGGAGAAATGGGTCTTGTTAGATTGCTTTTCCACTTTTACAGAATTGTCAAAATAATTTTATCTTTGTTATACTACCCAGAAGATGTTTACCTTTTATTTAAATACTAAATGCATTGTAAATTTTCATTTACTGCTCAGAATAAGCTCAAGGAGTATAACTATTCTCATTTTACAAAAGAAATCTCTAGCGCCAAAAGAGGTTAAGTAGCTACTCTACATTGCAGAGAATTTAACCTAGCTCTTTAGTTTCAAGGCCCATGGTGATAACTTCCTTGTGCTGCTGAAGCCTAATGCAAAATGTCTCAGTTGTTTACTTTGCTATTTAATTCCTGCCTATCTCTAAGCTGACCTGTATATTTCTAATTCTTTATGACCTTAAGGCAAATTGGGGGAAGATTCACTTTAAATGACGTAATGATAATAGCTGTCAATAATTGAGTACTATGTGCTAAGCATTTTACAACTTATTAGTATATACCGATAGAATAAGTACTGTTATTATTTTTGTTTTATGGATGAGGACATAGAGATTGAGTCCAATTAAGAAACTTGAGAAAGGTAGAACATGGAGCCAAGCTAGAAACCAGATCTTTTTTTCTTACAGAATCCAGAGACCCTTAAGCTATGAACTTGGTTTGAAATTAAATGACAGTGACTCCGGTCACATCATAGAAGCCAACACAAGTGTTCTTTTTGAATGAAGTCACCTTATCCAGGTTTTGAGTAAATGTTCAAAGACAGTGAACATCACAGAAGAAAGCAAGGCATCATGAATGAGAACCCACAGGAACAAAAGTATAAATAGACATGCAGGACTTCAGAATTCTACATATGGATCTCATGTTTATTCTTTTTAAAGAAGTGAGATACTAAGAAACAAGCTTGAAAGTGTGTAGGGAACTAGAAGCTAAAACAATTTAGCATATTTGAAAAAGAACATAGACTTTCTAGAAGTGAAAATTTTAATAATCAAAACGTAAAACTTGTTAATTAACTTGTTAATTAACATTACACAAAATTGAAAAACTGGTAAACTAAAAAGTAGTTCAGAAGAAACCCAGAATGGAACAAAAATGGGATTTAAAAAGATGCAGAGATGATACATGGAGGACAAAGAGAAACTTTAAAATACATTTAATTGGAGTCTGAAGGAAAGGAGAGAGAATGAGGTAGGGGCAACATTTGAATAGGTAATGGCTGAGAATTTTCCGAAAATAGCAAGATGCTAAAATATGGATTTAAGAAGTCCAGTGAATCCCAAACAGTGTAAGTAAAAAGAAAGCTACATTGAGATACATCATAGTGAATATGCAGAGCATCAGTTTAAAAAAAAAAAAAAAGAATCTTAAAAGCAGCCGGGGAAAGATTATTCTCAAGGAATGATTAAGAGTGATAGCTGGCTCTCCAGAACAATGATAGAATATATTTTAAAAACTGAGAAAGTTTCCAACTAAGCACTGACTCACTAGAAGAAATTCCAAAACAAACAAAAAGAACAACAAAAGACTTCAGACAACGGGTAAAGGATCCTAAATCAGAAGCCTAAAATAGATGAATGAACGATGAACAAGAAAAGTGGCAAGTATGTGGTTAAACATAAACAAATACTGACTTTGTAAAATGGTAATGTCTGTAATATCTTCTGGGTTACAAAAGAATAATAAAACATAGAGCCTGAGGGGGAGCTAAACGGAGTTAGTGATCTAACGTTGTTGTGTTATCTGTACAAAAGGGTAAATATATTGATTAATGTTAGTCTTCTATAAGTTAGAATTGTGTGGTATAGTATCTATAATAGTCCTTAAAATAATAAAAACAGCAATAACATCCAAATTAAATGCAGGATGATTGCTCTAGTCTGTGTTCTACAAATCAGAGCTCCCTGATTAGTTTGATTTACTTGATAAGAGAAATTTGATGAAAATACAAGAATTATTTACATTATTGTGAAATGTTTTAACATTGACTTTTTAAAGACTAGGAAGAGCTGTTAGCTTCTTCAAACATAATTTGAAATGTTGTAAACTTTGAATAATTATTAAAGATTCAAAATTTACTATGTTTTAGACACTGCCACACTAATTTTTTTAATGATACATTTTGACCATAGCCATTTCACACACAAAAATCCATTGCTGAAACACTGTGGTTAGAGAAATAAGCTCAAATTTCTCATTAAAATTTTGAAAAGACTGAGATGCCTTGGTGGTTTAGTGGTTGAGCATCTGCCTCAGGTCCTGGGGTCCTGGGATCGAGTCTTGCCTCAGGCTTCCCACAGGGATCCTACTTCTCCCTCTGCCTATGTCTCTGCTTCTCTCTCTCTGTTGCTCATGAATAAATAGATAAAATCTTAAAAAAATTTTTTTTTCAAAATTCTTCATTTTGAAACCTTAACTCCGTAGTCAGTATCTTCTCTAGTTGTATGTATTTCATTTTCTGATCATGTTTATATAAAGAAAGGCATTTTTTTTAAAGATTTTATTCATTTACTCACGAGAGACACAAAGAGAGAGGCAGAGATACAGGCAGAGGGAGAAGCAGGCTCCATGCAAAGAGCCCGATGTGGGACTCGATCCGAGGTCTCCGGGATCACGCCCTGGACTGAAGGCAGCTCTAAATCGCTGAGCCACCCGGGCTGTCCGGCAATGTTTTTTTTCACTAACTCATACTCCTAAAATCTCTTCAGTCTACTTTAGTGTGATACACATACCATTTTCTACATTTGGAGGGGAAAAGTTTGGGGAACACTACGTTATATAGAGCCAGATGGAGTTGGGGAGGAGGACGAGGAGAAAATTCTTCATTATCTTTAATCATTTTAAGGCTACATTAAAAAAAATTAGAAAGTGTTAATATTTGTAAATATGAATACTCTCACTTATATCCTTCTTCTTTACCTTTACTTTTCTCTCTTTTTGGTTCATGCCTCTGTGCTCTCAGTCTGCATTTGTCAAAAGTAACTTGATGAGTTCCATAGCCACAAAAAGTCATAAGTCGTTGGTTTCATAAGATACTTCTGTTGACCTTTGTACTGATGGTTGCTTAGCGTTCCCAAAAGAAAACTCACTAGGAGCCAGCCTTCAACTTCAATGCCTACTCTAATTTCACAGTGAAATATATCTTTGTTCTTGTAACTCCCTCCCAGGTCATCCTACTGTACTAGGTATTCTTCATGTTTTAATGCTCTAAGAAAAGCTGGGGGCTCTCCTATAATTTTCTTTGTTTTTGGAGTGTTAGAATACTTATTTTATCATGCATTCATTTTCTACATGAGAAATCAAGGTATTTTTATAATCAGCTGAATTGCTCTAGTGATTGTAGTTGATTAAGATTTCTCTTTATAGGAGCTGTTGGGAAATATTCTACATGCATTTAATTAGACAAGTTAGAGAACTTAACATTTTAAATCATTGGTTACTGATTTTACAATTGAGTTTAATGTCATCTAAAAGTAGACAAAGCATTAAGTCTACAAGATGAGAGCTAAACTTAGGTCTCTGCCAAAATACCTTCAGGTCACTTATAATATGAATATGGTTGTACACATGGGCTTTTTCCTCCTCCTGGGAATCATATAAAAGCAATAGGGAAATTAACATTTTTTTAAATGTGCAAACAATATAATAAATGAACTTAGATGCAAAAATCCTCAACAAAGTATTAGCAAACCAAATTCAATGATACATTAAAAGGATGATGTATCATGATCAAGTGGGATTTATTCCAGTGATAAGGATTGTTCAACATCCACAAGTCAGTTAATGTGGTGTACCACATTAATGGTATATAACACATATACCACTCTCAGCGAGATGGGTATAGAGGTAACGTGCCTCAAAATAATAAGGGCCATTTACTACAAACCCACAGCCAACCATACTCAATGGTGAAAAGCAGAAAGCTTCGGTAAGATCAGAAACGAGACAAGAATGTCTACTCCCACCACTGTTACTCAATATAGTACTGAAAATCCTAGCCATAGCAGACAGCAAAAAGAAAAGCCATCCAAATTGGTGAGGAAGAAGTAAAACTTTCACTATTTGCAGACAATATACATGGAAAACCCTAAAGACTCAAAAAACGTTTTGAACTAATAAATTCAGTAAAGTTATTGTAGGATACAAAATTAATAGGCAAAAATCTGTTTCTATACACTAATGAACTATCACAAAAAGAAATAAAGAATCTCATTTACAATTGCATTAAAAGGAGTGAAATACCTAGGAATAAGTTTAAAGATGAGAAGGACCTGTATATTGAGATTACACAATGTTAATGAAAGAAATGGAAGAAGACACAGATAAATGGAAAGATGTATCATGCTGATGGAAGGATCAACATTGTTTTGTCTACACTATCCAAAGCAATCTACAGAGTCAAGCTATCACTTGAATCCCTGATTTCAAACTCTATTGCAAAGCTATAGTAATTAAGACAGTATGGTATTGGCATAAAAACAGACATACAGATTGATGGAATGAAATAGCCCAGAAATAAACCCATACATACATAATTAAGACAATGGAGCCAAGAATATACAAAGGGGAAAACAAAGTGTCTTCAGTAAATGATATTTGGAAAGCTTAACTGCCACGTGAAAGAATGAAACTCAACCACTATCCTACATGATACACAAAAGTTAAAGTGGATTAAAAACCTGAAACCATAAAACTAAAAAGAAAACGTGGGTGATAAGCTCCTTGACAAAGGTCTTGGTGATTATATTTTGAATCTGACACCAAAAGCAAAAATAAATAAGTGGAACTACATCATACTCAAAAGCTTCTCCACAGCAATGGAAACCATCAACAAAATGAAAAGGCAGCCTACTAAATGGGAGAAAATATTTGCAAATAATGTATCTGATAAGAAACTAATATCTAAAGTATATGAAGAACTCATTGACTCAATAGCAAAACAAAATCTGATTTTAAAATTGAACAGAAGATCTGAATAGACATTTTTTCCAAAGAAGACATACAGATTGCCAAGAGGTACATGAGAACATAGTCAACATTCATTCAGGGAAATGCAGAGCAAAACCACAATGAAACATAACCTTTCATTTGTTAGAATGGTTCTTATGAAAAAGACAAGAAATAACAATGTTGCCTAAGATATGGAGAAAAGGAAACCCTTGTCCACTCTTTATGGGAATGTACATTGGTGCAGCCACTATGGATAACAGTATAGAGTTTCCTCCAAAAATTAAAATAGAACTAACATATGATCATGCAATCTAATTTCTGGGTATTTTTCTGAGGAAAATGAGGACATTAATTTGAAAAGAATAATGCTGAGATCCCTGGGTGGCGCAGCGGTTTGGCGCCTGCCTTTGGCCCGGGGCGCGGTCCTGGAGACCCGGGATCGAGTCCCACGTCAGGCTCCCGGTGCATGGAGCCTGCTTCTCCCTCTGCCTGTGTCTCTGCCTCTCTCTCTCTCTCTCTCTCTCTCTCTCTCACTGTGTGCCTATCATAAATAAAATAAAATAAAATAAAATAAAATAAAATAAAATAAATTAAAAAAAAGAATAATGTACCCTCATGTTTATTGCAACATTATTTACAATAACCAAAAAATGGAAACAATCTAAGTGTCCACTAATGGAGGAATAAAGACATTGTGGTATATAAATATATACAATGGAATATTATTCAATAAAAAATAATGAAATCTTGCCATTTTCAACAACATAGGTGGACCTCAAGGGCATTATGCTAAGTGAATTTAAGTCAGAGAGAGACAAAAAAATCACAGCATGTCTTTTATATGTGAAATCAAAAAGAAAAAAATCAAGTTCATAGATATAGAAAACTGATTGGTGGTTGCCAGGGACAGGGGGTGGTGAAGTGAAGAGAAATGGATGAAGTATGAAGGATAAAGAGAGTTAGAGGAAATTTCCCCTGAAAGCAAATTATAGATGTGAATCATTCTGTAGTTAATTTAATACCTCTGTGTGGATGAGCCAAAAATATCTATTTATTTTGTATATTCCTGGATCCAGTTCTCTCTTAACAAAAGTTATTTTCTTTAATACCCAAAATATATGTTCTGTCTGAGAACATCTAGCTTAAATAGTTATGCATAATAATTTTGTAAGTAATTGACTAATATCTCTCACCATACTTTGAGATCTATGAGGACAGGGACATTATTGGTTGGTTGGTTGGTTGGTTGGTTGGTTTGCTAGTTTTTATCATTGTATCCTTGGCATTTGGCACAGTGTCTGGCACATAGTAGGCACCCAATAATTCTTATGAATGAATAAATGAAGAATAGAACACAAAAATATTGGGGCACCTGGGTGGCTCAGTGGTTGAGCATCTGCCTTTGGCTCAGGTTGTGATCCCCAGGTCCTAGGATTGAGTTCCACATTGGGGTCCCTACAGGGAGCCTGCTTCTTCCTCTGCCTATGTCTCTGCCTCTCTCTGTGTCTCTCATGAATAAATAAAATCTTAAAAAAAAGAATGCAAAAATATTGATGTAATTCTTCATTAAGGACTACAATTAAATTTATTCTTTTTAGATGGAAGTCTTTCTGGAGGCAAAGAGTTAGTGTGCTTGCTTATTTATGGATTCATCCATTCATTCAACAAATATTCATTTACACGGCAGACAACCCTATGCTAAGCATGGAATACATGGTGATAAGGGGAATAGATACACTTCCTGCCCTGGAGCTCAGAGCCTGTAGGTAAGTGCTTATCAATTCTCTATTTCTAATATCTTATGAACAGCTATAATTACACGTTTGTGATAGTATCATATCAGAGGGCCCTCATAAGCTCTTTTCTTATTTGATCCTCCCAGAGCACAGATGTTATCTTCATCTTTACAGATAGAGAAATAGATACTAACAACAACAACAAAAAGCAATGCTTCGTATAGATTAGTTCATTTTATTTAAGACATATTTATTGATTACCTACTAGTTTCAGCAACTTCTAGGAGTCACAAACAGCAATGAACAAGAAGAAGGACACTTCTAGTAGGAGATGGCAAACTGAACAATAAAAAAGATAAATCATAAGATTACAGAAGAAATAAAATTGTGTGATGCAATTAGGGAGTGACTATGGTGAAGGAATTCAGGGAAGGACTCTGAGGTGGTGACACTGAAGCCAAGAAGTGAAGTTAGACCAGCCATTTGAAGAGTTATGGGAAAGCCTACAAAAGGGAGTGCCAAGTCCAAGGCAATGAGCAGGACATGAATGTAGCATCTTCAAGGAAGAAAGTGAAGGCTAGTGTCACTGGGGCAATGGATGTATGGTATGAGATAAGCTTCAGAACAGTGTGTGCCAGATCATGTATGGCCTTAGAGGCCATATACTTTTTCCTGCATGCATTGAGAAGCAAATAGAGAATTCATATAACTGATTTAGCCTGTGCTCACAAAAGAGGATTACTTGGCATTATAGATAGAATAAGAAAATTGTGCTTAAACTTGATTTCAAAGAACAGAGAAGTCAAAAGTGATTATTTAACAATCAGCTGGAGAGTTTCCCATAGCCCAGTGAACCATATTGGAGAGACACTGAATGTAGACTCCTTCAGAAGTGTGTGTGGGGAAAAGGGGTGGTCATGCCTAGGAGAGACTGAGGATTTCATTTCTTAGGACAATTTTTGAGAATGCTCCCTGTCAGGGGGAAGATGATGTAATCTGAGTTTTTGAGTTCGTAGAATATAAAAGCAAAACACTCTCAGATCCTGAGGAAAAAAGGTCAGTAATTCTAGGTCTTTAGTCTTTAATGTGGTAAAGAATGGAAACAGCTCTGTGTAAGTTTGGGAACCAAGTGTGGGGCAACCTCCGTGGAGTTTATCCCTGGATGAGTGAGCTCATCCTCTCTTCATGACCTGAGGTTGCCTGAGCAGGGATGCATGTCACCAGTGGACATGCACAGTCTGACAGTCTCTTGAACTAGCTTTCAACAGTAATACTGTATACCAAAAAGAAACAATGGCAGAATCAGTTTCCTCTCTGCTTCAGTGGAGAAGACAGAATGAGCCTCTTTTCCACTGCGTAGAGAAGGATTTTGGAACGGGGAAAGGAAGAGCCCAAAGGGAAATCCTAAACTTCCTACTAAAAAGACAGTATGATATTAAACAATTAATGAGAAACCTAAAAGAGAAGTGACCTCATGTGTTCCTCAGGTTTATGCAGGGACTTGTAAATGTTACATATGCCACTGTCAAGAATTTTGGCTTGTCTCTGGGATGAAAGCAGTGTTTGTGGCACACATAGTTACATGAATTATTTGAGATTGAGTAGCTTATTCAGGGTCACTCCAGGGCCTGTGCTCTTACCTAATTGTATATTTTTAGTGTATCCATTAAATTTCTTTTTAATGCTGTTATTTTTATTTGGTATAACATTTTTACTGGTTTTTGGTGTCTAGTTAATACATTCTATATTCAGTCATTTTTGCTGTTGCTCAAACAATAATTAATGAATTGTTTCAATAATTTCTGTTTTATGTGTTGAATAAATATGCATTTAAAGCTGTTATTTCTTTCTAGGACACTGACTTTTGGTGTCCAGAGCTGCTTCACTTGGGAACCATTCACAAAGACTTTGTATTGTAGCTATTTGATATTTGATTTCATTGGCTGCCCAGATTCTATTCCCTTTCCTAGTAGTACTCTGATTTGCTCTTTTCAAATAAACTCTTTTGTTGTGTGCAGTAGTGACATGATGAAAATCCAAATCTTTTATTTTCTCCTACAGAAACCAAAGAAATTCTTCCTGCCAAATGCTTCCTCTGACCTTCCCCAGTGTTGTCAAGAGTAAGGTAAGCTACTTGAATAAGGCAAATCAATTACTCTTGTGGGAATTGACTCTTGTGTGAAGTAGTAACTGTTGTTTATATCTGAGCACTTGTGGACACATGGAGTTGGAAAGATCTTCTGGAGTCGTCTAGCTCCACTTCTTCCAGCCTGTTCTTCAGCTCTCCTTTATGGCATGTAAGCTGCTCATATCTTTATGTTTTCTTTTGACTTATGCTAGCCAGGTTTGGTTTCTGTTGCTTGTTACTAAAGAATCCTAAATAATATATAAGCCATGCCAGAGTCTTCCCTAATTTCCCATTCTCTCAAGTAAGTCATCCAGGGAGATAAGTCCTACTAGGAAAATCGGTAGCTAAGCTGGTAATGAAATGTTAATCATGCTTTTAATACTGGAATGCATTACTCCTGCCAGATACTATTTGTATTTTCATAAGAAATGCTTCAGTGGAAGAAAAGTTTTGGTAATGATGTGGTAGGGTCTTACCAAAAGTTGCCCAAGGACCACCTGAACAATATTCTCATGCTTCTAACTCAACAGACATAGCATTCACATTTGGCACTTCTGGCAGGAGCTGGAAGACTAAAGAAGAAGAATGAGAGAGATGAAGAGAGCAACAATTTGTTCTAGATCTGTGTTCCCTGAAAGCAACTTTTGTCAGCTTAATTTTAATTTAAACACAGATTCCTTTTCTCTTGCATGTTTATATTTGTGATTCCACTTTGAGTTTCAATTCAGTGTTTTCAAAACTCCCACAAAATAAGTAGAGATGGTACAATGCAGTTTTTATACTTCGTAAGACCAGGTTGTGATAAGGTCTAGGAGTTTTTCAAATAGCATTAAAAATTCTTAATATTAAATTTTTCTTTTCCTAACTTCTTTCAAGGCCAATGAAAACAAGCAGTTTTTAAACAATATACTTTTGCTTAAATCTGAAGTAAGCATGAAAAGTAGGGAGTAATATGTTTAAACTAGGTTATTTCCTGATAGTATTGTTTTGTCTAAATAGAAAATAATTCCTTTAACAAAATTATTATTGTGTTTATTTTGGCTTTTATTTTCTTCCATTGATTTTTGGTCTCTGATAAGTGTATCACATAGTCATTTACTTTAGCCATCCCTCAAATAATAATGTAATGAATTGTTTTCAGAGTTACATCCTCTGTGGTGGAACAGTATCATCATTTGTGGCCAGTTTCTTCCATTTCAATGCAATGTAAGTAGCATTTAAAATTTATATTACATTTTTTAGCTCTTTATTTAATATAAACAGACTCAGTACTCTGAATATCTGTGCTTTAAATTTTTAGCCTCATTATTTTTCTGTTTTCTTCTATTCTTATTCCTCATCCTGATTATCCAATTCCAGTCATCCTTATAGGCATAACCCAAGTCTTTTCTAGGAGGTGTTCTAGGAACATTCCAGCACAAATCTCCCTGTCTCTAAAATTCATCTAATATGGGATCATGGGTTCCTTTATGATAATGTCTTTTTGTTATCTTATTATTCAATATTCCATATGTTTTCCCCTAAACTAGATTACAAATTCCCTGAAATCAGGGGCTAACGCAGTATACCCAAGTATCTTAGAATCATGAACTCTAGCTGGATTGCCTTGAATGAATTCCTGCTCCCTCACTGTTTCCCTTGGGGCACAAGACTACTGGTCTAAGTAGTTTTCTCTTCAGATTATTTATTTTTTCTCTTCTGATTAAAAATACTCTGAAATAAATGTCTGCTACTATTTTTTTCAACAATGATGCATATCATTTACATAGCAATTTACCACAATTTATTGGATTTAGTCCTGATAATATTCTTTTAAATATATGTTGTTATCCTCACTTTTGGATAAAGATCCTTTTGCTCAAAGAAGCCAAGAGCTTGAATGAGATGATATTTTAAGAGGTGGAACTAAGGTCATTCTTCCATAGCACAGTACTTTGCATACTGATGGTACTAAATTTGGTGATTGATGAATTGTCTCATCTTGAATTTTTTTTCCTACTAGTGCTTTCTTATGTGTAGACAGCTGTTAATTTCTTTGAATTTCTCCCTGTTCATTTCCCTGCAAACTTTCCCTCTTCCTATCTCAAGAATTTTAAGAAGAGGAGAGGGTTTATTATGTATCAGCTACCATTTCACAATGTCTAAGTGAACCCTGAAATTAATTTGAAATTTCCTGCTTGACTTGCAAAGTCAGTCTCTATTCGTTTTGTACTTTTCAACCTCATCTTCTCTTGATCACCTTTCTGTGACTGCATAGCTGAGTCACTCTTTCATGTTCCCTGCTCCATCGCTTACTTCCTTTCTTCCCCTCAAGCCATTACATCTGTCCTTCCTTACAAAATATGTTTCTTGTTGGTTGAATCTGTTTTTAATTCAAGTCTTCAATCATCCTTCATGGCCTGGAGTACTTACAGCTTGTCTGAAAGCCCATTTGTAATTTTACCCCTTTACTTTAGATTTCTTCCTTTCTTTCTTTTAGAAATTTTGCTCTTTGATTTTCACATGGCATTATCTCTTTATCTATTGTTTGTTCAAACTTTACTATTTTTTATGCTCATGATAGCAGAACGATTTACCTGTTGATAATCACACATATATCATTGATGAAAGTTCACATATTAAACTATATGTGGATTGAAAAACACCCCTACCTCTGCTTCTTTTTTTTATCAATCTAAATTAAAAAACCAGGATTCTATTTTGTTTGAAAGATGATAGAATTTCAGGAGAAGGTAAAATTTGGGTAAGATAGAAATTTCTATGAAAACTCAGTAGGCTACAGTCCTACATCAAGCTAAATAAACAGATTTTGGCACAAATTTTTGGTGTCCATAAAGACCTGAGCCCCTCTCTATGTTGATGTAGGGAGCTTAAGATACTGCCTATCTCTGTGTTCTGATTGCTTTTTTCTCATAGCAGCATCGACAGTGGCTGTTTTGATTTAAGGTGACTCAACCTCTTGGGTTTTCCCTCTCAGGGTTTGGCTATCAGATGTAGGGCCTAAAGGGCAAACTTCATATTCTCACATTTGAAACCAAATGTCTTATATAATGTAATTATAATGTATAATATAATGTATATTATATGTATAATATATATACATATATATACTTATATATGTATAATATATAATATAATGTGTATTATATGTATAATGTATATAATAAATATAATGTATAATATAATGTAAATTATGGGATCCCTGGGTGGCACAGTGGTTTAGCGCCTGCCTTTGGCTCAGGGTGTGATCCTGGAGACCCGGGATCAAATCCCACGTCGGGCTCCTGGTGCATGGAGCCTGCTTCTCCCTCTGCCTATGTCTCTGCCTCTCTCCCCCCCGCCCCGCCCTGTGTGTGACTATTGTAAATAAATAAAAATTAAAAAAATAATGTAAATTATGCATTTTCCTTGGTGAGATGCAAGACTAATCAGTAATACTTAATTCTACCAAAGTAAGAATATTGTATCAGGGTCTCCACTAGGTTATCCTACCTCTTGATTTTAAGGGATCACAATTTGCAACTTTAATGATATCAGTATCAGTTTGTACTGATAAAACTCTATCACATTTATAAATTAGCTCAAGGAAGCCTAACATATCTAGAGTTTGGATCTCTATATCAAGAATTGCCTTATTATTTTTTATTCTCTCAAGGTATCATTCAGCCAAGTGTTTCTGAAGTTTCACACCATACTCTTGCAATGAGACAAATTCTAGCCCTGATCTGAACATATAGGGGGCTCTAGGCTCACAGATTCCTCAACTCAACAATAAACCCCATTTTTACTGCTGATTGCTTATGCCTATTGCTCTTAGTCTCCTAGTAGGAACCTGAGCCCTTGCTGCTAAGCTCTTTGGCTGGAGTTTCTGCTGTTGTGTTACTCGGAATCTTTCATTGGTCATCTCAGTCTTCTAGTATAGTTTCAAGTCCTCCCTGATGCCTATCTACCTGATTTTTAATTAGGGTCCAAGGTACTTGCCAACTCCAGCCTGCCTTTGTTGATTTTATTAACTTAGATCTTTACCTACTTCGATCTCCTTTAGTCAAGCCTTAACATTTACCCTTTTATAGTTGAATTCTTCATTCTGCTCCTGAAGCCTCTGTCCTTTTTTATTTCAATCTAATTCTAGTGAAATACCCTTGTCAGTCATTCTCCAATTTGCACATTATATATGAGGGAAGTAATATTGTCTTACTCAATACATGTTCTTTGTAACTTAATAAAATGTAACACCGAGTAGTCAATCAGAAGTGTGTGTACACATGTCAACATACTTGCTAAAAACAACAACAAAAAAAACAAAAAAAACCCAAAAACCATACTTGCTAAATGAGTTAATACATTAAATTATCTACAATTATGAAACAGTAGTACAACTATTACAATTTTTATTTGATAAATGAATCAGAATCGTTTAAATAGTCTCACTATACTATTACCTTAGGCTTAACAGCTCTTGTTAAAACTGATTTATTTTTAGTTATTAATTAAAAAATGCAAGTTATAACAATTTCCAGTACAATGATGAAGCAAGTACTTCTCTTTACATATAAAAATGTGATGTTCTGGCAGAGGGTTATTTTATTTGTGTGTAGGAAGAAATCAGCATGGGAAATTATACAAAGAAGAAGTTTAATAAATGTTCATTGAATAAATGAATGAATGGTTCAACTAATCATACTATTTTTTTCATGACATAATTTGGGCCTAATTATTTCATTTATTTATACTGATAAAACTCTATCATGGTCATAAATTAGCTCAAGGAAGTCCAACATATCTGGAGTTTGGATCTAGATATGAAAACTTGCCTTATTATTCTTTATTTTCTGAAGGTGTCATTCAGCCAAGAGTATCTGAAGTTCCATAACAGGCTCCTGTCTGATTCCTTTCCTCAAAAGTTATGATGTAGATAAATTATTGGCCAGTTGATAACAAAGAGATTTTAAGAACTTATACTTGATTAGAGTGTCACATGCAGAGTTTAGCTTCCCATAAAAGGTCCAAGGAACTTTTTAATTAGCTTTGTTTTCCGCTTTTTCTGTAGCTAGCTGCAGTAAATTTAGATATGCATTATTTTATATCAGACATAAATAGCAATTCATTGCCATTGTAAAGCTTGTAAGTGGTGTACAAAAATGTTTTCCTATACTGAGACTTTTAAAGAGGATGTACATGATAGAGAAGTATCTTAGTATTTAGCACTGAAGACCAGGGAAATTAGCTGGTGCAATATCATGTATTAGACATGATAATATTCAGTTGCCAGTAATAGAAACCCAAAATAACAGTGTTTCCAAAAAGAGAACAATTTATTTACATATCAATAAAATTCCAAAATGGACAGTGCAGAGCTACAGGGGGAATCTGTTCCACAAATCCCTCAGGAACCATATTCCTTCTATCTTTTTCTATAATACATAGATTTCTATTCCCAAAGTCTACTCATGGTCCAAATTGGCTCCATCCACATTCTAAAAAGCAGGAAAGAAAAAATGGGTGTAAAAAGGACTGAATGGTGTGAGCCAGCTCTTTTTGGAGAGAGAAGAAGCAGCTATTTTTAAAGAATGGTTTTGCTTACATGTTCTTAGCTAGAATTTAGTCATATGCCACTTTAAGGTACAAGGGAGACTAGAAATGTAGTTCATTTTCTGTGCATCCTTAAGTCTGACTAAAATGTCATAAGTTCCTTAATTATGGAAGAGGGAGAGGATGGTTAAAGGGTAGTAAGGATTCTCCACCACCATATGTGAGTTCTTTTGGGTTAAGGAAGCTCTGAAAACAAAGATTGAAGTATTTAATTACTTTGATTAATCATTGAAGAATACTAGTCATATAAATTTTTGATATAAAAATCACAATGTGTTTACATATTATAACCTACTATGCATCTAGTCAGCTTTACAACTGAGATGTACTTGAAATAAGGCATAGGAACAATAAGTAAATAGTAAGGGTATAACATTAGTCATAACTTCTAATTGTCTATTAACCAAACCAGGTCACGTATAAAGAACATGAATTGCTCTAAAGTATCTGAGATGAAAATAAAGCTCCTTAGTGAAGTGGCATTTCACTACTCCTACATTATTGCTTTAAGTGTGGCTAAAATAAAGAAGAGAACATTGCACTTGATTGAGACAAAGTAGATGACCTAGAAATCCTGATGAGCATCATATAACAGACATTTGGACTAGCTAGTT